ACTAAAGAACCTGCGTCGTGGTTACAACCTGGACTGTAGTCATAGGACTTTTCGTAAACTTGAGACCATGCAGCACAGGCTTCCGTTGCACCTTCGACCGGTATTGTTGCCTCCTTATCGTCCCCCAGTGTCATGACACCTGCAGTACACCAGTCGTATTGAATGTCAATTTTTGGCCTGATGCGACAATTTTCGTCAGGCACCAAATTGAGTGCAATGGTAAAGCTCCAGTCAGATGGATCAGAAATATAACGCTCACCTGAATTTCTAGAGAATATAACACCTCCGTCAACAAGAAGTTTCAATTCTGTGAGGTACTTGATATCCATGAGAGTCTCTTTAGCTTTGAAGTTCACTGTGACATCATACGTGTCGCCACCAGTCCAGACAACTTCAGAGATTGAGATATCAGCAAGTGGTAGTCTGACGTTCTTAGAGTGAAAGGTGAAGTCCAAGTCAGGACATTCTTCTATAACCTCAGAACAGGTCTGACTAGTGAGTGCGTCAGTACCCAATGACAAGCCGATGATATTTGCAGCAATGAGAAGCGAATTGTAAAACTTCATCTGAAGATAAAAGTAGTTGGCCTTTTGATACTTGCAAATGAGAAATGGAGAGATCAAACGAATCGAATTGAATGAACACGAATCCTTTTATACTAAGAGTATATTGAAAGTGGATGTTCGTAAATGTATTCAATGTTCATCTTCAAATGCTCTAAGCGGTTGTGGTAACGCTACCCAGTGTTATGCAAAGCAGAAGCTGGCCACCTCAGAACTACATGAATGCAGGCGAATCTTTAACTCTCTTTTCCTGTTGACCTTACTGCCATGTTTCCATAGCGAGTTAATAAGCCGTTTCTCTTCTTTTGTGTTGAACATTTATCTCTTTTGGATCACTTCAAAACATGGACACATTGCAGGCGTATTTACATGTATTCACATGGCTAAAGTTAAAATTAGTGCTTAGCAAGAAAAGGACATCGACAAAATCACGCCTGAGGCATTTTACTTCTTTCCTGAGGTGGTCTAAACAGAATAATTGTACATATCAATTACTGGTTAATCGAAAGGTTAGAGCATTCCAAGCTACTCGACATTTTAATTATATTCCCAGTGTACGTATGTTTCTCCCAAGACAGACCCGTAATCTCTTTCTATGCATGCACAGACTCGGTTATGCACTGCGAAGAAATAAAGTTAAGGCGGTAACAATATCTGCTTAAGCGATCTAGATAGACGCATGCACGTTCCCGATCACCAGCGTTAGCACACATTGACGAGTGCGCTCTAACTATTTGGAAAACGAGCTTTGGGGAAAGGAAATGCGCTTCTTAAACTTTGAGTCTTGCACGACATAAATCTAATTATGCGAAACTTTAAATGAAACAACAGAGTTCCCTTTATGCATCTTTGGTGCACCTCTAACTTCGAAAATGCAAAGTGCTAACTTCCGAACAATGGACGAGAACCGAGCGCCATGTGTAATGGGAAGTGCTAAAAAAGACAACTCAAACCTATCAGATGTGATACATTGGTCAACTTCTTTCATTACTGAAGATATATTCTATGCTAATTATTACAACGGTACGGCGAGTATGACTCCCTGCTTATGAGCCAGGTGCTAGCTCCAATAAGCCCTTTTTAAGCTTGAAGCATTGTGATTTTGATGGCGTCACGGGATCATTCCATTGATAACTTCTTTACTTACTGCAAAGATATTCTATACATGACCAAAAGTTCTTTTTTTACTTTTCTGTGCGTTGGAAGTGTGAGAAATTAGTTAGCCTTGACGAACTTGAGCATTCCAGTAAGTTATCGTTACAAGACAGATATATGCATGCATATCAAAAGCTCGGATGCCCAAGACATTACATAAACAAGATTACTATTACATGGTTGGCATAAAGTTAATAGGCAAGAATAAACATATCTTTTTCTTGTCATTAAGAAATACTAACTTTCCATGCGCTAAACATCGCACAGCTACGTCCGAATGTGTAAGGTCCGACCCGTTCAGTAAATCAAGAGGGACAGAAAAAATAGTAAATATCACAAATTCTCTGGCGCCAGGTAACAGAATTAACGTAATATTTAAGTAAACTGCATATCTGTTGGTTTTCACAGGATCAGAATAAGCCTAGAATTAATTCTTACTCAGTACCAGTTTAATAGCTATGTCTATGTGTACCACATGATGCTTATTACCCACTTGAGCGATTCCAAGGCCCAATATCTTTAAGTTCGCTTAAATTTGTCTCGTGCTGCTTGAATTCAGTTAACTCTTTCATCAGATTAACCAAGCACCAATAGTGAATTTCCAAAGTCGACGTACATAACAATATATTCTTATTACCTACCTTTACAATGTATTTATGGTGGTCACTGAATGACAAAGTGCCAGAAATATTATAATCAAGGCTGTCTGAGGTCTCGTAAAACCAACAACTCGGGGCCTTTCTAACAATTGTATCGCAGAAACTACAACCAAAGAAAGAACCGCGAAGAAAAATAGAAAAGGCTAAATTTAGACAGGAAAGCAATGCTTGAAAGACCTGGAACACAGCTCTATTGCTTTTGATAAATTTGTTTTGTACGCAAGATCTTGAACCAAATCGCCTGTTATATCGGCGCTTCGAACGGCAAACTTGACGGCTGAATGTTCAATCCATACATGAGCCTACCTTGATTAATAATCGCAAAAGTTTCTCTATTTGGGTACTGCCTGAATGTCTGACATTGTTCATCAATAAAAATAGTTGAACAAATTAGACACATGTAAGATTCTAGCTTCCTAACAGCACAGATCCACTAAACTGAAGCAATGTATTACTAAAAAGGAGTCAGTCCAAATATATTCACACACTTACATAGCTTTGACTTTAAAATATGCGTTCTCTTGACTCTTGAGTGCTATTGTCTTGAGATCTGTTAGTCCTGTCATCCCTATTTTGGTATGTAATTTCCCTTAATACTGTACATTAACAAGACGTGAGATTCTGCAGTCTGACGCTCGACTCATATTATTTTGACTATAGCCTGCATTTCTGTAAGATAAGAACCTAAAAGCCTTTGACAAACTTCGGGAATGTGTATTTTAATGGTAACGTACAAATTGTATGTGTTCATATAGCATTGAATACTAAGTATAGCTTATGCGTAGGACGAATAACGTAACATTATTGTAGCGAATGCGTATCAAGATTTGATCGCGCAGTTCAAAGCGCGCATGCGTGAACTCACCTTTCCATGCCAATGCGTACGTGGCCGGGACAACCATGACAAAGAGCTGTCTAAATAATTTACGATACAATGTCAACAGAGACTGTTGGAAACCTTACTCCAGCCTCATGGAGATATTGAACAGTTATACGCGAGGACATCTGTGGACACAAGGGAAACCCAAAAGGGGAAGTGCATCAAGACAAAGGCGTCTAAACATCAGCTGTTCAACTCCATAAAGTCCACAACAGGTCTGAGCGTTAACCAAGCATTCCCGATTTTCTCGGATGTAGGCGAGGGAGACCGTAACGTTCTTGTTTTCCCAATTTTAGAATTTACAGAATTCTTGGGTATGGGTTTTGAAAAAGTTAGAACTTCTGAAGTGATTATGCTCCACGAATTTTGTTGAATTTCAACAACGCCTTACAATTCACGATGTCCAATCAAAGAACGTTGGTTGTCATTCAATTATATGTATCGATAAAAGTTATTTCAATTTAAAATTCTTTGTGAAGAGTGTCATTGGTGTTTAGGAATGTTCAATAAACATGCCCAATTTACTTCTTTGTAGCAGCAGCACCGTCCTTAGCACCCTCGCTGGCACCGCTGACAGAAGCAGAGACATACTCAACAGCATCGTTGACCGCCTTCTTTGCAGAGTCCAAATACTCGGAGGCGGTTTGCTCCAAACTCTTACCAGAGCCCTCGGCAGCACTTGCACCCTTTTCAGCACCGGAGGACACAGAGTCACCGAGCTGTTGACTGGTGGACTTGGTGTTATCTGGTTGTAAAGTACGGGCTGCCTTGTCCAAACCGTCAGTCACCCCCTCCTTTGCTTGCTGAGCGTACGATTTTTGGGAATCTGGGGTAATACCCTCTGCAATTTTGTCGGAAAAGTCTTTTCTACCTGCGTCAGCCATTGTGTATTGTGAGATTTGTTTTTAGTTATGATAGTATATAAGAAGAAGAACCAATTGATGAAATAGCGCACGGTCTGTTTCTTATATACTTGAGGAATAGACAAGAGGACATAGCAACCTTGGATGTTTAAGGGGGTGATTTTCAGTGCTCAGGTTTGAAGACCTTTGCTAATTTAAGACGAGTTGCTTGCTCCGTCGATTTTGACAAAGAGCAATTTTGCGGCAGAAACAGCAATTCAATCTCTTGTAATACATACTTGTAGTGATTGAGCTCCCAACTTGGCGAATACGTCATAATGCACGGCGTGTATAAGCAATGATAGTTTGGTGTTAAACGGTCTATGAATACCCGGTACTATGAGTAATTGTTCACGATTGGATTCAACTACTAAACCCTCACACCCTCAATAGATGCGGTCTTGCGGCGAACCGTATTCTACACAACATCCATATAGATCCCTAACGTTAATGACTCGGGAACATATGCAAGTTACGGATCTATCTCATCTCGTCTTACAGCGATGATCTCTTGAAAGATGCTCTTTTTGAGATCAACGAGTTAATGCCCCAAAAATGTCGTCATCGACATAAAGATCATTAGTTGTGACGACGCTGAGGAGGATAAAGGCCGATCGATTCGGATAAATTGTATTGTTTCGTATTGCAGTCTGTTGTATAATGTCTATTGTCTACTTTGTGATGTCATGTGCAAAGATGATAACTTACATAGATTTTTGTCAGTTGCCCTTTGTTCTCTACTCTTGCTATTGCGATTAGTTAGCAAAGTATGGCGAGCAAAGGTTTTCGCAGTTTGCGCAAAACATACGTTGCATAAAACCTCAAATTGGCATGAGTTTACGCCAATTGCGCAAAAATATGCACAGTGACAGAAAATGTGTCCTGTGACACGAAAACCTTCAAAGACAAAACACAATTACGAACAATTATGTCCGAATTGGGAAATGTATTGCGTCAAGGTTTCAGGGGGATTGAAAAACAGCGCAGAACAGGATGAGAACAATTGAACGAGATGGTTGGTGTTAAGGTAGTACTGATATTGGATTGTTCTTTAGGAATTACAGAACCAAAAGACAGCGAGGGAAGCAAATATCATATTGGATCACACGATGCCACTTCCAATAGATATTGACCAAGAGCGTGATTCTCGCAACAGGAGAGAGCTTGAAGAAGCGGGTCATGTCTACAATGATTCTGTCAATGCCACAACCTCAGCGTTCGATGAAGACGAAGACTTCGATGACGACTTCTATAGCAGTATAAATACGAGGATCCCCCTCATAACTGCAACCGCCTCTGGAAGGTCAAGGCTCGATGTTGGGCGCCAGTACAACCGATACATCAGAAGAAGCAATGTCAGACGGTTCTACACAAACAGTAATTCAAGCTCCCAACACTTTGGCCAAGACAGTGCAAACGATGACAATACAAACCTTGATAATACTTCCGAATTGCAAGATGAAGACCATTACACCGGGCTGATTGTACCGGACGCGGAATCAAGACCAGAAACAGGGTTCAACCTACCGTCTTCTTATCTGAGAAGATACGCCCTATCGCAGAGGAGTGCAACAAATGCTGCCTTATCTTCATCATCTACTGCTGCTTCTTTAACATCAAACCCTACTAGCAATAGAAGCAACGATGTGTATCAAGTTTCACCTGGTCGCACTTCTCTGCTCTCTGCATTAAACGCTGCGTCGTCAGAAGCTGTGTCGATGGATCTGTTGACCAACTCTGAATCGTCAATATTTAACCACTCTGAAACTGGATGTGGCACCTCTAAGAATCGTTCATACCTCCAGAGTATACCTCTATGCAAGACGTTGGATACTTTTCTATACCGAAGACGGGCAGCAGCAGTTAAATATGATAAGCAGAGGGTATGGAGAAGCTCAAATACGAAGAAGAGAAGCTTCAGGGCCGTTATTGGCGAAAAGGAACATGATCCATATGAGGAGTTCATGTTTGATGAGATTAGAATGTCACCAAATTCGTTTCTGAAAGCTGGTATTTGTTTTACTTGTGTCAACGAGGATATCTCTGTTGGAATAATCCACGTTGATCCGGTAAAATGCCAGGTTTCTGGGTTCTTGGAGTTTAAAGAGACACAATCTCTGAAGAAATGGATCAAATATTACGGTTCCTCAGCTATGAGGAGTAAACGTTTGGACTCTTCAACGACTGTTTTGGCGTTCACTGCAAACGTTGTTGATTTTGAGAGGTTTGACCTCAGATTCAAGTCACGTTCGTTCGATGCACTTATGGGGACGTATACACAAGAGTCCAGTGGGAATTACTATATCCCAAGAAAGGACGATTATTCTGTGATGTACTCCAACTTCATCAATCGACAGTTGTATAAATGGAGAATGTTGAAACCGTTCAAAGGGTTATCAGTGGAGCAGCACAAGGGGATAATGACTTGTACGAAATGCATTGCTAAGCTGCAATCGAGATATCAGCTCATGCACGTGTTTTTGGAGGGCGGTGATCATACAGAACTGTTGATGAGCTTGGATAAAAGATGCGGGACCTTGGAGGCTGTATCCGCTGGTGATTCTGATGCTATGAGCATGAGACGGTCGGCCATGGGGATCGTTCCAACATTGGATAGGGTAATGAGGTTCATACCAAACACCGCGAGATATGTGTCACCTAGTATCTCTATGAAATGAAGTACCAACCAGGTGATGGAAGTATATATACATATTACATATAACACAACTGTAAGATGGCCCCTCAAAAGCAGGAAGGAAGACAAAGGGAAAGCGAGAGGGGCATCTGTGGGAAGACAATGAATACAATGGACTGGGATATATGATCAGAACACTCAGTAGATTCATAACTATTTACATGAGGCGAAGCTTCCTCACCAGCCGCCATTCTCTTTTCTTCTATGTGCTAGCCATTCCTTCTTACACTCTCTATACGCCTTGAAGTATTCATAACACATCTCCCTGTCATAGTTGTTCGACTCCAAACATTTGATACTCATGTTCGCACTTTCTTGACATGGGTCGTAGTATCTGGAGGGCCCCTTGGCGGCAAACTTGGCCTTGTGGAAGTTGGAAGTTGGGTTATCAGGGTAATATTTGAACTCATCAACAGATCCCTTGGTGAAATCAACTTTGTCCTTGTCCTGTGTTACATCCGGCGCTGAGACCTTGAAGTCAGCATCACATTTTCTATCTTCGGTCTTCTCTGACATGTTGATATCGTTGGTTCGTGATCGAGGTGGCGTTTGGACAGGACGTGGGTGGGGGGTTCGATTTAAGGTGCACTAATGTCTCGTTTCCCGGAGACGCTTTTTCGAGACATTTTTTCCCACATTTTAGCGCTTTTCTGATTTTCTTTTGAAAGTGTGCTTGTTGCCCCGGTGATTGTGGAATTAAAGAGCAAAAAAAAAACTTTCAGCGATGAGCTTCCATAAAGAGACAGGAACGTATGAGGACTTGAGGGTTTGAAGAAGAATGGATACAGGCAAATGTTCAAGGTGTAAAGACAACGAAGCCACAGTTCTTTCCAGGAGGGAACTGTTCTGTCAAGACTGCTTTATAAGGTTTATCTGCGGTAAGCAGAGGAAGCACATGGGCAGTGATAGGTATAAAGTCAAGTTTAGTGACGATGTCAAGAGGGAGAAAGTTATATTACCTATGTCGTACGGTAAAAGCTCATTAGTGTTGCTCGATATATTAATATCGATGTTTGAAGAGCAGACGAAGAATCCTAGGGCCAAAATTGGCTTTGAGGTTGATGTTGTACACATTAACGATTCTAAAGTGATTAGTTATCAAAACGAGGTAGGGTCAGTCTTGAGAAAGTTGAAGAACCACTACGCTCTTGAAAAGTATCCGATCACTTTTACTGATGTGGGCATTGAAAGCATCCTTAATACGGGAGATGTATCTAGCTTGACTCTTCACAAGGACTTCACATCGACCTCAACAAGAGGCAGTTCTTCAGTCACCATGGATGATATCTTCGAAGGATGCCCAAATAGAGCTTCAAAGAAGGATATTCTAGATGTTATTGTTAAGCAGCTAATTGAGAGATATGCCGTGGCAAAAGGTGCGACTTCCATCTTGTGGGCGCATAGCATGACCTCTTTGGCCGATGAAGTCATAGCATTGACAGTTAAAGGACGTGGCTCGGAGATTTTCAAACAACTCACAGATGGCGTGGTTCCCTTTGGAGAATCAGAGATTGATGTTGTACATCCATTAAGGGACTGCTCACTAGGTGAAATTGAGAAGTTTGTCCAAATGAAAGGTTTAGAGGAGTTCTTACTAGTGCCATCAGATTCACCGGAAAGAATGATGAATAAACAAAAAACCATAAACGAGGTTGTGGAAAATTACTTCAAAACTGTTGATAGCTCAGATGATAATATTGTGTCAACCGTGGTGAAGACCGGTGCTAAGCTGGGAGAGCCTAGAAACTTTGATGGTAAAGTCTGTTCCATTTGTAATGGGAAGATATACAACGATCCAATGAATTGGCTAAAGAACATCACACATCATAGTAACCTACCACCGGAGACAGAGGTTGAGAAGGAGTCATTGAGAGAGTGGTTAGATATGAACACACAGACTGGGATAACTGACCAAGAATCTGCATCAACCAACGAAATTGACCTCTGTTATGGATGTGCCGTTACAGTGGGTGGATTCAAACAGGGTAAGATCGAATGGCCTGTAAGAAGAGATGCGAAACACGAGGTTGAGGCCATTTTAAGCGAGTTTATCATAGATGAGGAATAAATGTCTACTCTTATTTTGTGTCATATAACACCTGAACACCTAAAACCCAAACACCAACTAACCCGAACATCACAACTTTCTTGGATTGTCTCATCTTTGACATGAGTGTGTAAGCTATACAATGCTAGGATTAATGTATGTGATTAGAACCAACTGAAGCCATGTCTCGATTTATTCCTGAAGGCAAGAGTGATATGAAGGCACTGGAGCAGAGCGAAGCTCTGGCGTCTGCGAAATATGAATCGGAAGAGAAGGAAAAGGAAGCTGTCTCACTCTATGAACAGATGAGACGAAACCATATCATCAAGGAAAAGGAATTCCAAGAGAAGGTGAAACAGAGAAACCAACTCAACAAGATCGGCGAGAGGGAGCTCAGGTTTTACCAAGAGTTGGAGAAGAAGAAAGAGGAGAAAGAATTATCAAAGAAACGTGAGATTGAAGGAGAGCTCTCACGATTTGAAAGGTATGAATCAATGTGTATACAACACCAGCCAAGAAAAATCAAACATACTAACTCGCCAGCACAGCCTAAAGAAGTCCAAACTACAGGAAAGCAAATCTAACAGTGTTGCAAAGCTCAACCTTTCAAAGACCACCTCTATAAAGAAGAAAGTCACAGTGAAACCGAAGATAACAAAGACGAAGGAAAGCATTGCTCAAAATTCACCAAAAAAAGACTCAGAGCAACGAGGGGTGAACATCAAGCAAAGCAGAGCAAGTAGACTTGTAACAGGCTACTCATCATCCTCAGAAGAGGAGGATTAGAAATACAGTGGTGATGTGTGGATCATATGGCCAAAAATGTGTCTAAATATCCTAAATAGGAAATTACCGCATACGGCAACAACGTTCGTCGGTCGGGCAAAAAAAAAAGAAGCGAACTCTGGAACTTCCTTCATTGATACTCAAACGGTTTAACATTTACGAACTAATCAAACCATGTTGGGCCTTACTTCCCTTTCGCGCCCCTTCATCCAGTTCTCGAGCTCTGTGATAAGGCAAACGGTTCCAGCCGGAATCTTTGTTAGAACGATAATGAAGACTCACAAAGGTGCTGCAAAGAGATGGAGAAAAACTGCCAATGGCTTCAAGAGAGGCCAGGCTGCAAGAAACCATGGTAATACCGGCTGGAGCTCTGGTGTTCTGAAAGGTGATGGTTCTAAAGTGATGAGCACAAAGGAGCAGACCAAGAGACTCAAAAAATTGCTTCCATACCACTGAATGTGGGTCCGCAACATGTACATACATAACAACTACAACACGGTTCTTTTCATTATACATAATTACACCACTACAGATGTAGATTTCACCAAGGAGAGGTGTTGATATACCAATGATTTGTCCAGTTTATATCTTCTTCAACGAGGTTTCAGCGTTCTTCTCATCGTACTCGATATCGAGCCACTTGTTTGTAGCTGGATCTCTCTTAAGCTCGCCCGTAGGGTAGTAGTGGTAGTTGGTCTTGACGGAAATGGCAAATGGAACGTTATCAAATGACACCAGTTTCAGCTTGCAGTAAGTGTTGGTGCCGATGGTTCTAACAACTCTCACAAAGTCATCAACAGTTGGCGTTGCCACACCGTTGACGTGCGTGATGAAGTTTGTTGGATTGATACCATAACCAGCTGCTGGTGAACCTTTAGGTCTAGCTGTAACATAGACCTGTGATGGGAGATTCAGCATGGACTGACGAACTGCATGGTGTGGAGCTTGGACAACGACACCAGACCAAATGGCAATATGGTCTGTAGACTTGATCTCGGCTGTTGAAACCTCCAGATCCATCTCTCTCTTTCTTCTGACAATCTTGAACGTAAGAGTATCCTTGTCATAACATCTGTTGATATCATTTTGATCGAAAACTTGCTTGCCGTCGATAGATAAGACAACATCCAGATGTTCCAATTCCGGTTTGTGTTGATCCTCAGGGACTGCGGATCTAGAGACTGCCATGAATTGGAAGCGATCTCTTCCAGAGTCTTCAACCTTCTTGATCCACTCATCGGATACACCTAAAACTCTGGCTTGGTCCAGTGAAATGGCATAGAACTCAGAGTCGACAATCTTGATGACTGGAATATCAGAGGTGGTTTGTAGTTTTTCTATAATGTGCTTAACCTCTGTGACATCAATGCCCATTTTATAGATCGTATCGTGGCCTTCACGGCATTCACCCAAGAAGGATAGCCAAAACGCCCTAATGGTACCATCTTCATCGGCAATGACACCAGATCCACACTCATCACTCAAGTTTGTAGCCAAAGACACAGTTTCCATATTCGTACCTCTATAACGAGGAGAATAGGTGTTTCTAGGAACATTCACAGATGAAATATCAGAAACCTTTGTCTCTGTAGACACAACCCTGAAGTTTTGATTGAAGCCAATGAATGTGCACTTGTCACCCCTCTTCAGAGGAACATCGCTGAACTTTGGGGTTCTAACATCTCCAATGATCAAAGAAGGATCGTACTTAACAATGGCGTAGTTTTGAGTTGGATGTAGGAAGACAACAGTGCCTGGAATTACCAAAGATTCAGCCACTGTGATTTGTATATCGAGACAGTCATGTGGTACGTGAAGCCTGGAAACAAGAAGGTATCCCTTCTCAGAATCAATCACCACGCCAAATCCTCTCTTTCTCGATGACGGGAATGAGTCCACAGGGATATGGATATATGTTGTCACCACCATAAACGATCTACTCAACTTGGCACACCCGGGGTGGTCGACTGGGATGTCGACAAATTTGACACTCTTTGGCTGTGGAGGGATAGGTGGCAGAGGGTCTCCTAACTCTGTGAAGTCCCAAAGGCCCGTCTTGTCATTTCTAACAGCCAGTCGGAAACTCGAGCACCAATGACGGTCCACATAGATTGTTGCCATGGAGTTTGAGTGCAGATCTGAGATATGACGGAACGTGATTGGGATTCTTGATCTGTCAGGTATCTGCTTCATAACGTCTATGAACTGATCCAGGTCTTTGATATCGATGTCGTTCACCGTGTCAAGCATCCAGCCCACGGGCTCATTTCTGTTCAAGAAGAAAGAGCCTGTAGCGTTGTTGACAAAAACACCCTGGACAGGAATAGCATAGAGTCTCGCCATTTGATAACTCAGGTCGTTGAAACTAGCACCCGCAACTTCTAAGTATCTATCTGGGGTTATTGCGTGCAGGTCGCCAACTTTACATTTGACTGTAACATCAGTGCCACTTCTCTGTAAGCACAATTCGATCTCCTCGCCCACGGAGGAGTCCAAGATGTCATCAACGGTAATGAAAGTGGAAATGTCCAGCCCGTTGATTGAGATCAAGGTGTCACCTTCTTCAATTAGTCCGTGTGCAGGGCCTCCAGGAAGCACCAATTCGGCACAGAGCAGGCCAATGCTCTTCGGGAACTTCTCTCTCGCTTTCCTCTCTGCTTCATCTGTCAATCCAAAACGACGACACTCATCGTATGGTTTCAACACCCACTGGACTTGAATAGTGCCTCGTGTGACTGGCTTGTCGTCCTGGATACATTTAAGAGCTCTGACGACTCTCCATAACGGCAAGAAGAAGTCAGTGGACGCCTCTGTAGACCCTCCAGCTTGCAAAGCCACCGCATAGCCATCTATATTAACCACTGGGGACCCACTGGACCCACCAGAAGCACTTGCCGCTGCTTGGATATACTCTGTGTTGAAATCATTATAGGTAAGATCACCATAGGCAGGCGCATCACGATCCAATCTCGATATGAATCCACTCAAGATTGACAGCTTCTCACCAGCATCATTACCAACAACCCTAATCTCACAGCCAACCTGTGCCAACTCAGGCCTCAGCTCCAAGGACTTGACATCCATATATTTGATATCTTTCGGGTCAAACTTCAAGAAGCCGAAATCGTGAACAGGGTCCCTGTATATCGGTATCACGTCGACTTCCTCATGGTTATCGAAGATGACGGATCCCACAAACGGACCAGTACCCACAACGTGTCTATTCGTCAAGATGATACCTCTTTCGCTGTCAACAACAAACCCTGTGGCTTCGCTGAGCACCGACGGGTCACAGTCAAAGTTCGAGGTCTGGGAAAAGTGCACCGCAACAACACACTTCACCACGTTGTCGATCGTGCGATGCCACTGCTGTCCTTGTTCGCCGTGAGCCTGGTACCGTGCTGTGGTCGTATGGCCATTCATAGCCTCGTCTATAAAGTCATCGTCATCCGCACTAACGTCCAGTGCCATGTTGTCAGAAGATGAGTCCAGAGCGATCTCCTCGCCCATCGAGAGGTCGCTGCTGATCCTCTGGACCTTGATCTTCTTTTCAGAGCTCACAGTCGTCCTCTTAACCGTCATCTGCCCACAGGATCCTTTTCTGTCTTCTCCTCTGCGTGCTGAGCAGGCTCGTTGTTAGGCTCGTTGTTGGGCTTTGTTTACGAAAATTTTCTAGCGAGAGCCAGGGAGAGAGATTTTTTCGTGCCTGCCCACAGCGTAGGTTCTGTAGGCGGGGCCTGTTCTGTAGGCGGGCCTAACCGTCTGCCTACACAGAGAGAACAACACGCCGTTGAATCGTTGATGTTTTATTCCATATTAACTAAGCGCTATTGAGTATGTGATTGAGCCATTCCTCTTGATCATGAAGTAGTTCTTCTGAGCTGAACTTGTAGTTGTGAAGCATGTTACCACCGATGTTGATGGAGCTGGTGTCATGCGCATCATGCTCCTTCTTTAAGCATTTGAACCATCGCAGATGGTCCACCAGGGGCCTTGTTATTTCGATGCTTTGCTTGACATCACTCAGCATGAGCCCTCCTTTTTGCAAGTTGAACATTGTCTTGATGGCGTTGGTCTTTGAGCCCACCACCGCAGCCAGCAGCTTGTTGTTAACAACGAGATAGCAGTTCAGTATGAGGCCACAGATCAGGATCCATTCGTTGGCAACTTTATAGCAGTACTTGTGATATGTTTCCAGTACGTTATTTGCCAGAGTGGAGTCCAATTGGAATTTATTGCACAGAACAACGATTTCTCTTGTTGTCAGTAGCAAGAGGTGTCTCTCCGTGTCAATGGACGTTCCGGCAACGTCCCTCAAAGACTCGGTAACCTTTGACGTTGTAGATGGCGAGCCTGGATCGCTCTGTAACAGCGAGGGCATTCTCTTTTCAAGGTTCTTCATGAATTTACTTTTATTCTTGGATCCTGGAGGACGGCCTTTTCCTCTTTTAACAGGCGATGGAGTCGTGGTTGGAGTCGGCGTGGGACTCTGATCCGCAAGTTGGGATGCTCGAAGCGAAGGTGACTGTAACATTGGTGTTGTAGCTGTATCCAAATCAACAATTCTGGCCTTTGAAGGAGTACTTATGGGCGTATTCGAAGAACTGCCCAGCCCGTCCAGTTTCGTCATGAAGGTCGTTACAAGTTCATTGATCAGTTTCGGAGGCAGGGGAACGTTTGAAACAGACGCAGGCGTCAGATTCAACCTACTTGACAGCTTTGTCACCGCAACGATCGCACACAGATGATGCCTTGCGAGTTCCTGCTGTTGTCTTAAGGGAATCTTCTGTCTCGAGGATGCATACAACCTTGATGTTAGTTGTTTCAACTCAGCCGGTATCGCGCCAGAAAGATCAGGTGCAACGTCCCTGATAGCACAGTCCAGCGTATTGTTCATCAGCGACGGTGGAATCAACAGAAATAAACCATGTATCTCTCAAAAGAACCCTGGGAATGGACATCTGTTTCTATAAAACCGTCGCATGCTAACGCTCTGCCTGTAGTTTATCCGTCTGCTGCCCGTAACAAAAACTGGCCTGGAGAGAAAAAAAGCTTCAGGGAAAAACAAAATCAACACTTCCCCCCTGAAAAGGAAATCAGAACAAGGTGAAGGCTTTGAAAAGAGGACAAACAAGATGCTTAGACAATTCACTCCCCGCCCATGTGTGCTGAGAAGCATTTCTCAGACGCAATTCAGGGCGATTTCCAAAGCTGCCGGCGAAGTTGTTCAGAAACAGGAAGAGCACGGAGAGTTGCCTAAGGAGCTCATCAGCGGAGCACCACTGGAGCTGATCACCGAGAGGGTTGTTAGAATCTTCAAGGATGCTAAGCCAGCTACCCAGAGCGGTAACTGGGGACAGCACTTCTGGAAGCTTGACTGGGACGTGCTTGGTAAGGGCAACCGTTGGGAGAACGATCTCATTGGTTACCAGTCGTCCGGTGATTACATGTAAGTATTGGCGGTGCCGTCACTTTGAAACATAAGACACAGCGTACTAACGGAGCACTCTTTACTCTTTGAAACAGGCAAGGAACCATCATGAAGTTTGATACAAAGGAGGCTGCCATCAAGTTTGCACAAGGCCAAGGCTGGAGTTTTATTGTTGAGGAGCCAAACGTGAGAAGATTCAAGCAAAAGGACTACTCCAGAAACTTCTACCATTCTAAGGGCAAGTTGAAACACGTCAGAACCAAATGATGTGAGATGTTATTCACCCCGACACATTTATTTATTCTTCCACTTATTTATTACACCGTTCTTTATATATATAACAGAAAACATTGTTTAAACCAGTCATTCCAATAGGACTTTATGCCAGTTCAAAGTAGGCGAGTACATGCTATTACACCGTACGGGCCACACAGGATGGAGTATCCTTTCAGTTTCAACGAGAGCGAAAAAAAAAACAAGTAAAACAATGCAAAACAAATCAAAACAAACAAGGCGATATACAACCCACAAGGAGAAACAACAGGGCGGTTAGGTCATTCGAAAGGTGTAAGCGAGGCGGTTTCCTTCAACTATCGATTTATTGTGTCGTGTTGCTACTCTGTGTGTCTGTGTGTGGAGTTGTTTTCGAAAGTTGACTGTTGCCTTTATCGCAATTGAGAGAGGAAGAGGAAGGCGTTTGAAGAACGAGGAAGCGGTTAGACTACAGCCGGAGAGTAAGAGCCAGCAATGTCCAGAAGACCGTATTTTGCACCCAACAGGTACAGAAAGTCACGAGGGGATTCCTATATCCCTTCAAGAGGCACACATCTTCCTTCACCAGAGAGATTACCAGTAGAGAGGAACCACCACACGGACAGGTCGTACGATAGAGATCGCTACTTCTCCCAGAGGGATAGAGGTGACGCGAAATATGCTTCATACAGTTCAAAGTTCAACCCTAGAGAGCAGACGTCGATGTCAAGAACCACGAGCAGTTCTTCAACGTCTGTTAAGTCTACTTCGTCTTCAGCGACGATTCACGATTCAGCTTCCTTGTCTACTGCAACCTCCAAAAACGCGGTGTTGCAATCACCACCGTTGTCCAAATGGGAGAGTGATACAAATTTCGATATTACCAAATGGAAAGATCAAAAGCATCTGTTGCACAATGGCCAACTGACAGACCCTAATGCCATATGTATGGCTGATAGACCCGCGATCCATGCAGTTTATGACCCCGAAGTTAAAAAGGACGAGTCAAAGGGCAAGACAATCGTGTATAAGTCGTATCCCAAAGATTCCGTACCCAAGACGAAGGATCCAAGGCAAAGGCACCATCAGAGCACTCCAAAGAGACACAAGAAAATTCCATACAAATCGCTACCAATTCCGAAGTTCTTGTACGATAAGAATTCTGTCGGGCCTGAACCTCCTTCAGAAATCGTCATCTCGGGATTGGGGAACCTATGGAATGAGACGTATTTGAGAAACCAGGTTTCTTCTTTCGGTAGAATTGAAGAATACGATAACATCATGGACTTGTCTACTGGTATGCTATTGGGTATAGTTAGGGTCAAATTTGGCGGATCCATTGATAAGGCTAGTAGGTGTGCTCAGAAAGCCACTGATGGGTTAAACAATATGACCTTTGAAGGAAAGAAGATACAAGCAGTATTACAAAGGGACTCACAAACCCTCGAAACTGTGAAGAAGAAAGAAATCACTAAAAGATTGGTGAAACAGAAGAAGCTGGAGATGAAGACAGCCCCTGCACCAACTGCACCAAAAGCTCAGTTGGATGCTATAGCTAGAAGAGATGCAAAGAGGGAATTAATAAAGAAACAAGTTGCTGAACAAAAGGCGCCACATGTGAAACAATCACAACAAGACACCAAGGAGGCTTTTGTTATTCCTAACGAAATTTCTAAATACGTCAAAGGCAGACCTTTTTTGTTCATTGATCGCAAAAGCACGTATGACAAGATAAGTAAGGATGACTTGAAGGACTATTTGAACAGATATGACTGGACCAGAATATTGGAAGAACCAATGGGCTTTTTTGTTGTTTATAACTCCCCAAATGAAGCTAGACGCTGTCTACGAGCAGAAAATGGCCAGCGTCTAAGGACAATCAAGTTGGATATTAACTTACTCTTGCCAGAAGATTACACCATAGAGGAATCAAAAGAGGAGGAAAGACCAGCGGATCCGGTTGAAGAGGCAACGTTGAATTTGACCAAAGAATTCGAAGTTGCATTGTTGAAGGATATCAGAACTAAGATCATTGCTCCAGCCGTATTGAAATGCTTAAACATCGATAACTATCCAAATCTTAAAGAGAAAATCGAACCAGTAATACCAACTCTACCTTTGCAATCCAAGACAATGTTGAAGGAGGAGTCTGAGGAGGCTAAGTCATATGTCAGCGAGGTTGCAGATGACGTTTTCTCCTTACAGAGGGTGTTCCCCAAATTACCATCCTTTAAGAAGAAGACAGATCATCCTTTCAAGAAGTTAACAAAGGCGAAGAGAACAAGAAAACTTGATACTCTACCACTCAGTTACAAATTAAATTTCGAAGATGACGAGGATACCGAAAGTGGAACATCTAGACCTGAAACTCCACAATTAGAGGAAGATGGCCAACCAAAGAGAAAGAAACCAAAGACGAAAGAGCCTATTTTGTACTCTTCATCAGAGGAAGAAGAAGAGGAGGAGGAAGGGGAAGGAGAATCAGCGAAGGATTCTGTTCCTACAACTCCTGAAGCCACTCAGGCATCTGTCAAGCCAAATGAACCGGTCGAAGAACTCAAAGACATTGAGATGGCAGATGTCGATACTTCTGCAACAGAAACTGATGAGGATTACTCAAAGGTTGATCCTTTACACCGTCCAACGGTTACAGACATTCCAATACCTGTCTATGATGAACCTTTACTCGATCATCTGAACTTAGAAGCTATCAAGAATGTCATCAAAGATGATGAGGATTTGAATCTTCTAAGGAGTGTGTTGGCAAGTGTCGAAGAAACTCCAATCAAGGGATCTGTTAAATATTGGGCATGGAAACAAAGACAGATTGAAATCTCAAATACAACTCTTAAGCTGGAACAATTGCCAGAAAGCCTTAGAAATAAGACGGGGGCTCAAAGGAGTGAAGGTTACTTCAAGATTCAGGATGAAATTAAAGCAGAGTACCTTCCTCACAGAAAAAGAGTCCATGACCCACTGGCAACCATTCAACATGAAAATGAAGAGAATGAATCCTCAAAGGTTCAAAGCTCTAGAGTCAATCGTGCCAATAACAGAAGATTTGCCTATGAGGTTAGTAACTTCAACACTGAGAATGAGATTTTGAAATTAAATCAACTGAACAAGAGAAAGAAACCCGTATCGTTCGCAAGATCAGCCATCCATAACTGGGGGCTATATGCTCTTGAACCAATTGCAGCTAAGGAAATGATTATTGAATACGTTGGTGAACGTATTCGACAACAAGTTGCCGAAGTGAGGGAAAGGGCATACTTAAAATCTGGTATTGGTTCTTCTTATTTGTTCAGAGTAGATACAGACACTGTGATCGATGCTACGAAGAAAGGTGGCATTGCAAGATTCATCAACCATTGTTGTGTCCCAAGCTGTACCGCTAAGATCATCAAAGTGGATGGACAGAAGCGTATTGTCATTTACGCCTTACGCGACATTGGTGCCAATGAGGAATTGACTTACGACTACAAATTTGAAAGGGATGAAAACGATAATGAGCGTGTTAGATGTCTATGTGGTGCACCAGGGTGCAAAGGATACTTGAACTAATTGTAATAATCCACATAAGGAAACATGTTTTGCTTGTAGTTTGTCTCCATTCAATGTTGATGCGTTACGCGTGTTGGGACGCGTACGTGTGCTGGTGAAAAAAAAAAAAAAGCCGTCAGACATAAAACTTCCACCTCTCATCAGCGAAATGGTTGAGATATAATACCGAGCAATAGCATCAAGACAGCGACAGACAGAGAATGTTGGTGAGGAACTATGCTCCACGTTTCTGTCGAAGTCTTTGTTCAAGATCATTCACAAGCTGTCAGGTGATACTACGAGATGAGCCACACCGGATCAGTGTTACAACTACACCACCTCCACCAGTTGTGTCTAATTTCAAGCTTACAGATCTCCCCAAGAGAAAGGCGTCCAAGGAACCGAAGGCCGAAGCACCTGTTTCTAAAGCAACTAATTCGATAAACCTGAATGGTAAAGCCATTGAATTACCTCCGATGATGTCTTACATCAGAGACGTCATTGACCAGTACCCCGGTTACATTGTGCTGACACAGGTTGGCTCATTCTATGAGTTGTATTTTGAGCAAGCTTCTGAGATTGCACCATTGTTGAGGTTAACACTGACCAGAAGAGAATTCAAAGACTATGCTATTCCAATGTCTGGCTTCCCACTAGGCCAGTTGCAGAAATACATCTCGATTCTCGTCCAAGATCTCCAAAGAGGCGTGGTCATTGTTGACCAGTTCAAGAAGGACACTGCTATTGATAACGACCCCCAGCAATTCGGAAGAAAGGTCTCCAGGATAATAACTCCAGGAACGCTTATAGACGAGCTCTTTCTGGACGAGCAGAGTAACAATTTCCTCCTTGCAATCAAGTTTCCTGAGAAGCTGTTCACGAGAGAACCCGACCCTGATGCCCATGTTGGGCTTTGTTGGACAGACCTCTCAGTAGGCACGCTTTATGTACAGGAGACAAGGCTGGATGATCTGGTATCCAGTGTGAACAGGTTGCACCCTGTTGAGATTCTTGTGGATGACGACGTACCACCGGAGCTCTTGAACACTAGCCAATGGCATAAAGAGTTTTCCCATTTCCAGCAATACCTTGTTAAGTATGTCAAGGCAAAACGCCATAAGACAATTGAGGAGTATTTCCACATGTTTGAGCATGGAAACTCAGCATTGAAAAGGTCATTCCAAGAATTCACAGCGAAGGAGATTGCATCTTTGAGATCAGTGCTCCAATACATTGAGAATCATCTACCAGATTCGCCTATCAGTTTGGAAATTCCGCAGAAACAGTACCCTCAGAATATTCTACATATCGATACAAGAACATCAGAAGCTCTTGAATTACATAGATCACTGAGGGAAAGATTTCTCAAAGGGTCGCTTTTCTCATCAATCAAACGAACTGTCACCCCAGGTGGTGCAAGATTGCTTGCACAATGGTTATCTGCGCCATCAAGAGACCTGAAAGAACTGAAGAAACGACAGAAGATCGTCCTTACTTTCGCAAAGAACTCACCATTTAGAGCTGATGTTATTCTTACACTGAGCCAGATTCATGATCTAAATAGAATCGTTCAACGTCTGTCATTCGGGCGAGGTTCTCCATTGGAGCTTGTGCAATTGGCACACTCCTTACAGCTCGTTGACGTCTTGAAGGAGAAGATTGAGGAGGAGATGGAGTCCAGTGCACAGGCTAAAAGATCTTTAACGCAATTACTGGATAACTACGTTTCGAAGTCACACCTTTCAGAGGAAATATTGAAAGATCTCGATGAAGAGGCCATACTTCTTGAGATGAAGGTACAAGAGGAGGAGCTGAAAAGGGAAATCAACCCAGCAGTGGTTGAGAAGAAAGGACGCAATCACGATACCAGAGTGGAACTTCAGTACATAGTACGAGAAGAAGCATCGCCTATTCTAATGAGATTACACAAGAAGCTCAGACAACTTGAAAGTGAAAAGATTGAATTGCAGCACTCTTTAAATACCAGGCTTGTAGATACCGGCAAGTTCAAAGAAGCATCTTTGAAAGTTACACTGGGCTCTGACTATTTGATTCATGTTAGGGGTGGAACAAAGAGCCCCTTCAACGAGATTGAATCTCTTTTGCCTAATGCACTAGAGACCTCTCGTGGGAAACTGACGCGATGGCTTGACATGAAGGAGTGGAGAGTGCTAGGGCAATCAATTGACAGCACTATCTTCCGAATCAAGGCAGAGGAGCAAAATGTCATCAAAGAATTGAGAAGAAAAGTGATCTCTAATTCCATGGCACTCCGTCAGATAGCGAGAACAATGGAGTATATTGATGTGCTGAGCTCTTTTGCTACGCTGACCGTTGAAAAGGATCTCGTGTGTCCAAAGCTGGACCAGTCTCTCGAACTCGATATCAGAAGAGGCAGACACCTTGTTGTGGAGGAAGGGTTGAAATTTGATCTTAAAAACTTCACTCCAAACAGCTGTTCACTTATTGATTCCAAGAGCAAATGGGTGATAACCGGACCTAACATGGGAGGAAAGTCAACGTTTCTGAGACAGAATGCCATTATTGTCATCATGGCCCAAATGGGCTGCTTCGTTCCCGCAGAGTCAGCCCGTATTGGCCTTGTAGACAAGATTTTCAGTAGAGTGGGATTTGGTGATGATTTGTATAACCAGATGAGTACGTTTATGGTTGAAATGGTTGAGACGAACTACATCTTACAAGGTGCCACCAAGAGATCACTGGCGATATTGGATGAGGTTGGAAGAGGTACCAGTGGGCGAGAAGGTGTTGCATTAGCATATGTGACTCTGTTTCATCTTTTGAAGGTCAATGGCTGTCGAGTGCTATTTGCTACACATTTTGGCAAAGAGATCGCTAGTCTTTTAAAGAGGGATGGTGTTTTCGATAACTTTGTTTTCAAGAAGACTGGTGTTGTTGAAGTCAACGGTGACGTGGTTATCAAGCACGACCTTCAAGATGGTATTACAGAGAAGTCTTACGCTATAAACGTTGCACAGTTAGCAGGATATTCTCCAGGTTTAGTCCAAAAGGCACACGATGTTCTTAACTACATGGAAAGCAATAGCATTCTATAGAACACACTCATTACTTTATAATAATACAAAACACGACGTAAGGAAATGTTACACTTGTCTATTGCTGGTTATTTTGGTATGGACCATTGTTATTCTGACCATTCTGCATCATCTGTTGCATCATTTGGAATTGTAACATTTGCTGGAATTGTTGGAACTGCTGCATCTGTTGAGGTGTCATTTGCTGGTTGGGCTGGTTCATTGGAGCCATTCCAAATGGAAGCTGTGTACCTGCGCCAATGAATGGAGGAAACATAGGCATCTGAGGAGCAGTAGGATGGACCATCGCTGGTGGAGGCTGGAAAGTAGATGGAGTGCCATAAGCAGTGACAACAGGCGGAGTTTGATACACCTGAGACTGCGTATTACCCTTCTCACGTTCAGATCTTGATTTATACCCCATATTAAACGCAGGTTTCTGAGGATGATAGCGTTGCTCCGACAGTGTTTGAGAGCCTCCTATCTGTGATGGGTTCCAGTTAGACTCTTTCTTCCTTTTAGAGTCCTGGACTTGGTCGCTCTGCGTTTCTTTGCTATTTTTCGTTCTCTTCTTCTTCTTAGCCTTCTTCGACTCCATCTCCTTCTCGTCATCAGAGAACTCTTGTTCCTCTTCCGGAAGCTCCTCGTCATTCCAGTTACTTGCATCAGTACCTCTAATGGCTTTAATGCTATCTGTATATTCGAACTGGGATTTTGGAACGACATAGTAAACAGGCTCCTTTTTCTTATCCTTAAACTGCAGAGCTTGAGCCTCGTTATTGAACTTCACCCTGTACATAGGCTTTGACACTGGCCCAAAGATCTCAAAGAGGTATCCCAATGGCGTGCGATCTTCGAAACACAGCACTGATCCTTCTCTAAGAAACCTAAATTCCCCAGACGTTTTACTTTTGATAATGATGCTCTTCTCGACAAACCCGACAATCTCACCAATCTGTTGAATTGGTTCATCAGAGTCTATGACGAAGCCCTCAGGAAGTTGTTCTGCTGGTTCATCAGTGATCTCATTCTTAGATTTGATTGGTTCGTCATTCTGTTCTTCTTCCTCAACATCACCAGCCTCAGCCGGCACTGTTTCGCCATTTTCATCATCACTACCCTCCTCCTCACTGGAGTCGTCTTCACTATTACTATCACTTTCATTGGAAGAGCCACCACTGCTATCAGTACCGTCTTGTCCTGACGGACCACCTTCAAGAGCACTGCCTTTAGTACCAGCCTGCTCTAGTAGTTGACCGAGGAAGTCATCGTCACCTGTTTGTTCTGTACTAGATTTATTGGAAGACACTTGTACTTCAGCAGTATCCTCAACAGCAGGATTTATATGCTCTACTACCAAATCATCTTTCGCACACTCTGTTTCTGTAACACATCCCGTTATGCTAGGCACTTCAGTATCTTCATCCTTCTGCTCAATAGGTTCTTGATGCTCATCGCAGACCACATCCACAGGCACATTGTTCTCTGAAGGTTCTCCCTCATTAATCTGTTCAGCTGACACACTTGTTACAGCATCACTGCCATCCATATTACCACTCATCTTCACTTTCACCCTTCTAAAGGACTCTACAGATCAGAGATGAAGAAGCTTCTTGCTATGTATTAATGGACTGAAAATTTACCACCGTAAAGTGGCCTTACCGAAAAGCTCATCGCCCCATTAGTTCGCCAAACCATATATGTAGCACGAAAACAATTGCTCATCACCACCTATTCGTCAAAGAACGATGGGAAACGTCTGAGTTCATCGCAATTCTGGATCTCACCTTTCCCACCGTAAATATCTGACTTTGTGTAAATGAATTCTTCGAAGTGATGTGATGAGTTGTTGAAAGGCTCGTGTTCATCCAATTTAACACCCAGCTCTTTCATTAGTTTGAGGTCATTTTCAAATAACAAATCAGGATCGATCTGATCACGTACAATCTTCATGGAAGGTCCATATTCATTTTCGTCCTCAGTGCTCATGGGAAATGTAATTTTTTGATCATGTGGTTTATCAACTGTTTCCTGCTGACCATCAAAAAGATCAACGAGACCAAAGCTACAGTGCGAAGAGTTGTACGGCTCTTGTTCATAACTCTGAGCATCACATAACCTTAACCTCTCATTAGAAGAGTTCATAGTGAACACTGAGGGTAGATGAGAGTAGGGATCCATTGCCCTATCCCAAGCTGGATGTGACTCGCTGACATGACACTGCCCCATTATATTTCCAGATATCTCGGATAGGATATTTTGTGAAGGCATATATTGCGAATAGCATAAAATATCTTTGTTGGGAAATCCTTTTGCCTTCAGTTCGGTATCCTTTACCATCATAGGCGTGATATCTTGTTTCTTTCCTGAATTTGTAGACTTTGGCCTTCTGCCTCCTCTCTTCTTATTCTGATTTGAATCACCAAGCACACTCTCCAGATTCATCTGATCATTTGCTTCCCTAAGAATCTCAAAAGTTTCATAGTCATCGGCTGGAAAGGACACTGACTGCATCCCAGAGTCATATGTCGCATCAGACTCTACAGGTTCTTTAACAGAACGTTGCAGTGTAGAAGAACCTGAATAATTGGAAGGTGATCGTCCCCGAATGATCAAAGGAGGTGTTTCTCTATATGTTAAAACAACGAAGTCCTTATCATTGAGAAACCCAACAAGCTCAAAAACCAACTTGAATCGTTTTGAGCTCAATGAAGGCTTTTTATAGTTGATCGACAGCGAGAACTGAACCCTCTCGAATCGAGCAACTTTCATGATCTTGTCTTCTGGGTACGAGTCCAACCCACTAATGCTATAGCTGTCTTTGTGCTTGTCTCTATCAAAGAAGAAGACTTCGTTCAACTTGGCAATCTTGCCGAGGTTTCTAACATTCGCAGCCTCTTTAATAACTGAATGACCTGGGAGCGTTCCAGGAACTACAATTTGAACCTTGGGACTGAACTGTGGTCCTCTATCTCTCTTTGCTGTATGTTGAACCAAATTCACAATCGTACCGTCGTCCAGCGATTTGGCCACTATGCGGATACCAAAATATTGTATCTTATGCTTCACAAGCGTATTCCTCTCTTCATTTTGTATAAAATACTCATCACCAGCAAATGCTCCAAATGAAACACCATCGAACAGAAACGTGCTCACCAGAGTGAAGTAGTTTCTCTTATAACCAACCCACTCGTTGTAGAGAACCTCGAACCCTCTGTCGATTCTTGGGTTAAGCACAGGTTCAACGATTCTTCCAAGGGAGTTGAACACTGGCCGAACATGCCTTGTAGGAGCAAACGGCGGCCCAATCTTGAACTGAAGACTTGAACGTGGCGCTAACTTCTTCTTCTTCGGGAAGGCGTAGTTGTACGTTGTATTATGGTTACGCTTCAGAGGGTCAGACGCCGAGCGGCGCGGTACCTTATGTGGCGTTAGATTTGGCATCACTCACAACTACTTTGCTGTAGACACAAACAGGAGTCATTGTTAGTCAACCACCTTATGATGTATATCTCATCAGATTGACGGTCCAGCTTAACCGGCGGAAGACATACCTTTGTAAAGAAACAGTCGAAATGGTTAAATGTTAGATGAAGAATCCGCTGAGGTGTTTATCTCTTCTTCAAAACAAATATGGCGGGACCCTTGTTTACAAGGGCTGATTCATGTTGATGGAAATGTGTGATTGAAGGGGAAAACAAAACAACACATCGGAATTCGTTTTTGTGGCAGATGGCAACAGCTCTTTGTTGACATTTTTGGATTCAACAACAACAAAGTTCATTAAAGTTTCGCAGGAAAGTAAACAAATATGGCGCATACCATGCGCATGCCGTTTCCATGGCAATGAAACATCCAGACATCTCACGAAGCTCATCTCAAATTTTTTTTTTACTTTGGAACTCTATTTTCGTACTCGAGAAGATCCATTTTAGGGCCAATTACATAGGTGAAGATATTGAAAAGGTGGCCAAGATGGGTAAGAAGGCTATTGACTCTCGTATCCCTGCTCTGATTAGAAACAATGTCCAGGAAAAACAGCGTAGTTTTTTCGTTATTGTTGGTGATAAGGCAAGAAACCAGCTGCCAAATTTGCACTACCTTATGATGTCTGCGGATTTGAAGATGAACAAATCCGTCTTGTGGGCTTATAAGAACAAATTGCTTGGTTTCACATCCCACAGAAAGAAGAGAGAAGCAAAGATCAAGAAGGAGATCAAGAGAGGTATCCGTGAGGCTAATGAACAGGACCCATTTGAGGCCTTCATTGCAAACCAGCAGATTAGATATGTCTACTACAAAGAGACGGAGAAGATCTTGGGTAACACTTATGGTATGTGTATTCTTCAGGATTTCGAGGCATTGACACCAAACCTTTTGGCTAGAACCATTGAGACCGTTGAAGGTGGTGGTATAGTTGTGCTCCTGCTCAAGTCGATGTCTTCTCTGAAACAGCTTTACACAATGTCCATGGATATCCACTCTCGTTATAGAACGGAAGCACACAACGACGTTGTTGCTCGCTTTAACGAAAGATTTATCCTCTCACTTGGTGGCTGTGAGAACTGTCTGGTTGTTGATGATGAACTGAACGTTTTACCATTGTCCGGTGGTAAGAACGTCAAAGCCCTTCCGCCAAAGGACGACGACGAGCTTTCTCCAAAGGCTTTGGAGCTAAAAGAGCTGAAGGAATCGTTGGAGGATGTCCAGCCTGCCGGATCATTGGTATCTTTGGCAAAGACTACAAACCAAGCGCAGGCCATTCTTACATTCATCGATGCCATTTCTGAAAAGACTTTGAAATCCACAGTTGCTCTTACTGCTGGTAGAGGTCGTGGTAAGTCCGCTGCTCTGGGTATATCCATAGCAGCAGCAGTGGCTCATGGTTACTCTAATATATTTGTCACATCTCCATCTCCTGAAAACTTGAAGACTTTGTTTGAGTTCATCTTTAGAGGGTTCGACGCCTTGGGATACCAAGAGCACTTGGATTATGATATCATTCAATCTACAAACCCTGCCTTTAACAAGGCCATCGTTAGAGTTGATATCAAGAGAAATCACAGACAGACAATCCAGTATATCTCTCCTTCTGACTCACACGTTCTTGGACAAGCTGAGTTGTTGATTATCGATGAAGCTGCTGCCATCCCATTGCCTATTGTTAAGAAGCTTCTGGGTCCATACCTTGTCTTCATGGCATCCACTATCAACGGTTATGAAGGTACTGGTAGATCCCTGTCTTTGAAGTTGATCCAACAACTCAGAGAGCAATCCGCTTCCAATGGCAGAAACGATGACACTGCTGTTGTTTCTAGAGACAACAAGACAAATGACGCAGAAGTTATTGGTCGTACTCTACGTGAAGTGACTCTAGATGAACCAATCAGATATGCTCCTGGTGATGCTGTTGAGAAATGGCTGAACAAGCTTCTTTGTTTGGACGTTTCTCTTTCCAAGCACAGATATGGTGCTACTCCAAGTCCTTCAGCTTGTAATCTATTTGTTGTTAATAGGGATACTCTTTTCTCCTACCATCCAGTCTCTGAAAACTTCTTATCCAAAATGATGGCACTTTACGTGGCTTCTCATTATAAGAATTCTCCAAACGATTTACAATTGATGAGTGATGCACCAGCCCATGAACTATTTGTTCTTCTTCCTCCTGTTAATGACAACGAAGGCAAGATTCCGGATCCTCTCTGTGTGATTCAAGTTGCTCTTGAAGGTGAAATCTCCAAAGACAGTGTTCGTAAGAGTTTAAGCCGTGGCCACAGAGCCGGTGGTGATTTGATTCCATGGTTGATCTCACAACAGTTCCAGGATGAAGAGTTTGCCAGTCTGAGTGGTGCCAGAGTTGTTAGAATAGCAACGAATCCAAACTACTCAAAGATGGGATATGGTTCTAGAGCTCTTGAACTCTTGAGAGATTACTATGAGGGAAAATTCACCGACATCTCAGAAAACACCAAGCCAAGAGACTTTTCTGTTAAGAGGGTCTCTGACGAGGAGCTGGAGAATACAACCTTGTTGAAGGATGATGTTAAGCTTAGAGATGCAAAGACCCTCCCTCCACTTTTACTGAAGCTCTCTGAGAAGCCACCACACTATTTGCACTATTTGGGTGTCTCCTACGGATTAACTGACAGTCTTCACAAATTCTGGAAGAGAAACGGTTACACACCAGTTTATCTTCGTCAGACTGCCAATGATTTAACCGGCGAGCATACATGTGTTATGATTGAAGTTTTGGAGAACAGAGAGAAGAAGTGGCTCGAAGAGTTTGCCAGGGATTTCCACAAGAGATTTTTACATTTACTCTCGTATGATTTCAAGAAGTTCACTGCATCTAAGGCGTTGAACATCATGGAGAGCACTAAATCCGTTGACCACGGTGAATCCAAACAACTTACCAAGTCACAACTCGATGACATATTCTCTCCATTCGACTTGAAGAGACTTGAGTCTTATGCTAACAATCTTTTGGATTACCATGTCATTGTGGATCTTCTGCCACCTATCGCTCTCATCTACTTCTCTGGAAAGATGAAAGAAGTTAAGCTGACTGCTATTCAACAGGCCATTTTGTTGGCCATTGGTTTGCAACACAAGAGTATCGATGATATTTACAAAGAGCTTGACATTGCATCTAACCAAGCCATTGCAATGTTTTCTAAGATTATCAGAAAGATCTCCAACCACTTCAGAGAGCTCTTGAATCAAGCAATCGAGGAAACCATGCCTGAGTTGAAGGACCAGGCTGTTGCGGAGATGGATGGTGAGGAGCAATCTCAATTTGCTGCAATCGAGGAAGACCTCGAAGATGAACTGAATGATGAAGGCCAAGAAGCTGTTAAGGCCTTGAAGGAGAAACAGAAGGAGTTGATCAATTCTTTGAACTTGTCCAAGTATAACATTGACGATGACGATCTTGAACTGAACAACGACGACCTTGCAAAGGCTGCCAAAACCGGTAAAGTTGTTGCCTTGAAGAACAAGAAGAATAAGAGAAAAGGTGAAGATACTGCTGAGAGTATTTACCAGGAGGAGATGAAGCTTGTGAAGAAAGCCAAGAAAGATCATAAAAAACGCTGACTTGTAAAATCTATATAGTAATAGTCTATGGTGGGAAACTATGTCTCTTGTAGTTGTTCAACTAACCATTCACCCACGTCTTCCAATACATCATTGATATGTGTATCTTTATCGTTCTCAACGGATAGCATGCTGAATCTCTTTAGCATTGATGGGTCTATGTGCGATTCAACATCGCCGTTGATAAACAAGTAAGAATGAGATTTGGCATACGCAGGATACACAACTTTCTCAAAATAACCTGGAGGGTCTGTCCATGTAGTCTCTACTGTGTTGTAGCTCCTATGTTCTCTTCTTTTCTGTAATGTGTCGCGTGGACATTTGACAAAGATCCTTAGATCAAAGAGTTCAATGATAGAAGGGTCATGGAACAGCATGAACCCATCCACTATGATCAGTTTCCTTCCATGTAACAGTTGATTCAACTTCAGCGATAACCCCTTCAATAGCTCAATTGAAACCTGGGGATGTGCTTGATCGTTCGTCTCACTCTTGTACATTGAAGTGGCACTCTGAGGAGAGAGTTCTCCCGTGGCTTTCAGGTGCTTTATCTCGTGGACAAACGCATCAAAGTTCAAAGCCTCTACACAATCCCAATTATCCATCCCAGTTTCTGGATCTACCGGGATATCTTCATCTCTCTGGAACATATTAGTCGTATTAGCGGCATGTCATCGACATCGTCTATCAGGATACTCACTTTAAAGAAGTCATCTTGGTGTAGAAGATAAGAGTTCTCCACGGCTATGCTCAACAGCTTTGCGATTGTCTAGACGTGGAACAGTCAGTATGGATCATTTCAAAATTCCCAGCAGTACATACAGTCTTCCCGCTTGAAGAAGCACCTCCAACAGCAAGTAATATTGGAGCCATTATCGCTTTAATGTTGGGCCTTCTTGTCCATGATTGCTATCTTGAATGAAGAGAAAATCCCGTGGGAAAGTTACAGCGAGCAGAAACGCTGCCCAGTCAAAGGAAAATTACACAAAAAGTTAGACAGAGAGCGCACGATCTTACTGAGCCCATCAACATCAACATCTTCGTATTAATAACAAAACAACTGGCTGATACTTAGGAAGATGTCTGAGCCTATTAATGCTAACCCTACGGTGCTGGACGTTAACGCCCTTCCGACTCGTGGCGAGGATCACAAGCAGGAGAAAGCCTTGGACTCACAGGTCCAGGAGTTGTTATCTCTCGCCATTGACCATGGCGTCGACTCAGACGTCCAATCACAGGCTCCCAGCCTGCTGTCTGACTCTGAAGAGCAGGAGGACCCTATTGACCCGCAGGAGATCTTTGACCTGATAGCGCACATCTCTGATCCTGAGCATCCGTTGACGCTTGGGCAGCTGGCGGTTGTCAACCTCAGTGATATCAAAGTGATTGACTCTGGCAACAGAGATGAGATGGGCGAAGTAATCATCAAAATCACGCCAACCATAACCCACTGTTCGCTGGCTACGCTTATAGGCCTGGGGATTAGAGTGAGACTGGACAGGTGCCTTCCTGTGAGGTTCAGAATCACCATACTGCTGAAGGAGGGAAGCCATCAGAGTGAGAACCAAGTAAATAAGCAGCTGAACGACAAAGAGAGGGTCGCCGCTGCTTGTGAGAACGACCAGCTGCTGAACGTGATCTCAAAGATGCTGGCAACCTGTAAATGAATCATCTACACCTTGACCATCGTTCCATGTTATCCGTAGATTGCTTGCTTGCTGTGCTGTGAAAAAACTCAACAGAACCCCCCCCCCCCCAGCCAAAAATGAAGAGTTGAACGCCCACGGGGGGGGGGAGGGCATCGCACAAAAATTCATAGGCACGAACAAACATTCTTCCCAACTGTTCTTTTACCATATAATACGATAACGAGCTTGATCATTATAGAAGAACAGGAACGGCGTCAGCTGAGAGAGTATACACAATGGGTTACTTCCTACCTTATGAATCTCTTCCTCATTTGAAGGAGTACAAGTATGGAACCATCTTTTTTTTCCCACTATGTAATTGCTTGAACAACAGACAGACTAATATATGAACCTCTGAAGGTATCAAAGCGAGGACCGCTCAATCATATCCAAGTACATCCTCAAGCCATTCTGGATTAAATTCGAGCCTATTTTCCCAATGTGGATGGCGTAAGTGGCTCTATTTTTGCCCATCAATAGAGGGTTTTTCTTACTAACAAGGATTCCAGTCCCAATGTTGTGACTTTACTAGGGTTGGTGTTTATTCTGGTCAATTTGGCAACTGTGTTTTATTACGACCCGTTCTTAGTAGGCGAGCAGCCTACGTGGACTTACTTCTCTTATGCGCTGGGTCTCTTCTTATACCAAACTTTCGATGCTTGTGATGGTATCCACGCCCGTCGTACTGGTCAAAGTGGACCATTAGGTGAACTGTTTGACCACTGTGTAGATGCAGTCAACACAACGTTGTCAACCATCGTTGTGGCATCAGCAATTGGTATGGGGTACTCTTGGTTGCTTGTCATTGCTCAATTCGGAACCCTGGCAAACTTCTACTTGAGTACATGGGAAGAGTTCCACACGCACAAGTTGTTCCTCTCAGAGTTTTCGGGCCCTGTTGAAGGTATTTTGATTGTCATTGCAATCTTCATCATTACCGGTATCACAGGACCAGGGATTTGGAAGTACGAGTTCGCTCAATTGAACCTGTCCTCAGTTGGACTTGATGATTCGATCGCCGTGACACCAATGCTATGCTTTGTCGTCTTTAGCGCTGTGAGTTTGTATTTCAACATTGACAGTGCAAGAAGAAACGTTGATAAATACTATGCCGACTCCAAGCTTTCTCTCAAGGCTTATAAAGGACTGGTCCCTTTCTTTGTCTACTACCTTTCTGTTTTCGCATGGTTGTTGTACAACCCAATTATAGTGGATCAGTACTTGTTACCATTTGTTCTGACCATTGGGCTTACCCTTGCTTTCAACGTTGGTCGAATTATCATTGGTCATTTGACTAAGCAGCCATTCCCAAACTCAACTCCATCTTCCTTCATACCATTGGCGGAGTTTTTGATCCACTTGCTTTTGACCAAGCTGGGATACACCGATCCTCTGTTGACCGGATACCTTGTTTGGACCGGATTCGGGTTGAGTCTTGGGTTCCACGCCATGTTCATCACAGAGATCATCTATGAAATTACAATATATCTAGACATTTACGCACTCAGTATTAAATATCCAAAGAAGGAGTAACTGAGGTGATAGAGCCATACACGTCATTAACTTTACTACATATACATCCCATAACTGGAATATACAACGAGAGACAAAACATAGTCAACAAGAAACTTGTTAAGGAGTAAATCATGTATATACAGTAATGAATTGACACATGGCATGCCAAAACGAAAACGAGGAAACAAGAACGTAATGGATGGCGCTTAAGCAGTAGCTGGCGCAGCAGCAGCAGCTGGTTGGTCACCAGAGGCCAAGATGTCGTTGGCGCCTTGTTGAAGCTTGAACTCCTTCTCCAACTCCATGAGTTGCTGTTCAGCGAGAATGGACAATGACAAAGGAACACCCAAGAGCAATGCAGAAGTTGTCAACACCCAAGTGATGTTACCGGCTTTTGACACGGCGGAGTAAACAGTGCTGTAGACACCAGACACCAAGCCGGAAACTTGGTCTCTCTGTTGTGGTGGAACGATATCCTTCAAGGCAACGATTCTCTCGTAGATGGTTTCGTCCTCGTCAAAGTCATCCTCGTCTTCGTCATCCTCGTCGTCGTATTCTTCTTCCTTCTCGGACTCGACGATTGGACCTTCTCCAAGAGTTTCGTCTTGGACTCTGATGTCTAATTCGTCTTCAACTTGTGTGAGTTTAACCATCTCTGTTGCTGTGTCTATATGTGTGTGTTTTGGTTGTTGAAATGTCTCTTTAACTACGAGAGGCGTTAAGAGTTTTGAAACTTTTCAAAGAGAAAACCACAAACGGACGTTTTGCGGTGGGCGGTAAAAGCTCGAAGAAAAACGGGGAGAAAAAAAGCAGTGAAAAAAAAAATAGCTTATGTAATCGGATATCACAATATTATGTAAGCTCATTACGTCACTTGATTACGTAACGGGCCAACTGAATGATTTTTCTTGTTGTTATTTCTGTTGTTGCCCCGGTTCCAAAACCGCAGCCAAGCGACACACCCAACGTTTTTGTGTCAAAGTGATAACCGCTCACTAAATCCAAGCTCAGCAAGTGAAACCCCAGCAACCCCCACCCAGACATGTGGTGATCTTGGGATCTTTGAGTATGAGCACATCCTTGGCTTGTTGAAAGGGAGACTGGGCAATTGTTCTAACTTGCCATTTTGACTCCTTCACTTGTTGAAGTTACACGTATTGTAGAGATGTATGTAAAGATGCTCCATTGGTTAAAGAAGTCTGTTGCGATCTATACGAGCCAGCATCAGAGTGACGATGTATCACTCGACCTTTCTTACATAACCGATCGTATCATTGTGTGTGCCTGTCCTACCACGAAAACGCATAAAATGGTGTACAGGAACTCACTCTACGACCTCTTGCGATTCTTGGAGAACAAACATGGGGACCATTGGAGGATTTGGAACTTGAGGGAAGAGTGGAGAGGTGACTATGACGTTGGTGATATTTCCTTAAGGGATAAAATGTGCTATGAGCCATGGCCGGACCACCAACCTCCAGATTTCGCAAAGTTGGTTTCGATCATTGGCGCTATTGGGGAGTTCCTATACGACGATCCTTTGAACGTTGCGGTGATCCATTGTAAGCACGGTAAGGGTCGTTCGGGATTGATAGCCATTGGCGTATTGATGATGAAGTTTGGGTATCCGATGGAGGTTGCAGATGCGTTGTTTACAGAGAGGAGGATGCGTTCAGGGTTTGGGTCAGGGCTATCTATAAGTTGTCAAAGACGGTATGCAGAGTACTTGGACCTTTCCAGGAGGATTCCATATACAGAGAGGAAGATCACAATACGTTTGACAAAGATTAGGTTGATCCATGCTCGGTTTGATGCACAAGATTTGCAAGTGGAACTTGTCATATCAGGCTTAACGCGCAAAGACGAAGAAGCCACCATGGTTAGATTCAAAACCTTCCAACCAGAGGAGAAGAACTTGTTGGTGAATGGCACATCCAAGCCATTTCCAGCCGACTTGAAGATTGCCATTGCAAGGTCGTATTTACATGGTAGTGTGTCTAGCTCGTGGGCTTATATGTGTTTGAACATGTATTGGGAGGCCATAGAACTTTGTGGGAAATTTCAGAGAGGCGTGCCAATGGTTACACAGTGCCGATGGGATGATATGGATGGGTTCAAGGGAACGACGAAGAAGGGATTCCAATTGTTCGACACTTTGGAGTTGTGCTGGGTCGCTGATTAGCCACCTTTTCTCTCACCTTCCAGCTTGAGCCATACACCATCGATGATTTTCTTAACTAAACTTGCAGCACCTTCGTCATCGTCGTTGTCAGAGCTCTCATGAATTCTCTTCACGTTAGCAACCAGGTACGGTGGATCCACTTTAACCTCATCCAATATCACAATCGAGTTACCCTCCCATCTAACATTAGGCATCGTCTTATAAACAGCGTTGAAGATGGTTTGTGCCTCTTTGCTAACTTCGCTGTTTTGTGTCTTTTTAATCAGATTGTAGCTATCGTGGTTCCTCTGCACAATCTTTGCTAGCTTGTTCGGGTCAACTGGATGGATCTGGGCCACTGAGGATTCATCAACCGTTCTAGAAAGCACAGTGAGTTCTTTGATCTGGTTTGTTCTAAACACTCTGTAGTTATATGAATTCCCGCTAATCGAAAGCGTTGGCACTTGGAGCACCAAGACACCTGGTTGTGTAGTGTACGAATACACAGTTCCTATAAAGTCCTCGCCCAACGGGTTGGTTACTTTCACACTAATCTCGTTGATGTGTTAGTGGACGAGTTCAACGAAAACATCATAAAACAATCATCAATACCCACGTGATTCCAACAAGGATCTTTACGTTCTTCAGAGCGTCCATCTGTATAAGCTGTGGCAACCAAATCCTCCTTATGAGCACGCTGAAGTACTCGTTGTGCTGTTTCTGTTCCTTTGCACAACGCCCCCTTCCCTTCAGTAGTCCAAAGGTAAACAAATACCCACCGCTGTGTTTTTCCCTCCCTCGTAAACTTTAGACAGTGTCCCCTGGCGCTGACCCTGTGCGCTCTCTGCGCGGGCGCGCTCTGTCGAGAAATATAGCGAGCCTAGAACAAGTACACAATCACCCAACATCGGTAGTAGCCAGAGAAGGAGGGGCCTGTTGGAGAAGGGAATGTCGCCACGGCTGTTATCCAAAGAGGCCGAGCTATTCGAGAAGGCGAACATAGTGGATGTCGGTATGCAGCCCAATGAATTCAAAAAATCTCCCTTGCTAAGGCATCGAAGCCTTAGCCAGTCGATGGAGTCCCTTTCGCTGGATCACCTGGGGACTCATCACCATGAAGCTGGGTTTACCGGCAATGCCTCTGCACAAGATAACAGCGCTAATGAAGAAGACGCGGAGAAGGCGAATAGCAGTGATGGTGATGACGAGGAAGAGGATGAAGAATTGAACATAGACGAGGTGGACGCTGTTAACCATGCTGTGGAAGAAGGGCTTGTCGATAATAACCTCGTGGTTGACGAAGCTTACAGCCATTCGCTTTCGGAAAGGGCGAACCAGTTCTTATCGCACGATTCTAGCAGTATAATGACTTTCCCTGAAGTTCCCAAACCTGTTGTTGACTATGAACTGGACGATGTGATCGATATGAGAAGAGAACTAGACGACTGGTTCTCCGCAATGGAGGTTGATGAACTTTCGACACTCCCGCAGCGGTTTCAAGAGGCGTTCCCCAACATTGACTTCAATAGGCTTCCGATAAACGATCAGGAGGCACTGGTGGAACAGCTCATATCTGAACTGAACACAGAGGGTTGCGACGTGGCACTGCCAAACCTGGTGTATATCGCTTTTGGTGCACCATCAGAAATGAAGTTCACCTTTGAGGATCAAGTCCATATTATCAGGCACAACACGATGTTCTTGGTGAGGTCTAAACTCATTCAGAAGGTTATACCGCTCTTGAAGACAACTTTCAAACTCGCATTGATAGCGGATACAGGATTGGTTAAGTTATCGAAACGTATATTCATGTCGTGTACTTTGCTTTACGTTGTTGTCTTGGTGTATCTCGATAACAACAGTGTTGATGATGATGAATCCGAGGATTTGAAGAAGATTATTGACGAGGAAGAGTTGCTGAAATTTCTCATCCGATGCACTGACGATTGGAGATGGAATTCGAGGGCGTGTCTAAAGATACGAAACATCATCACCTTATTGTCAAAACTTTTACAATTCCAAATTGGTGGGTTTGAGAAGCGCAGAAAGGCCAAGGAGTTTATATGCGAGAGACTGAACATCAAAAAGGAAGACGATCCAAATAAATTGACTGGATCTCCCGTGGATTTCCACCTCTTTAGAGAGGAAATTATCGCCCGTTATCCTGGATACATACCACCTGCTCAATATCCAGCTCCAAATGTTGATAATCCCTCCTCACTTTCCCAGTTTCTCACCATGCCACGGCCTATTCAACCAACCAGAAATCCGAATAACGTTGATACTTTCTCACAGCAGATCCACATCGCGACACCTGCACCATCTCCTTCACCCCCAACAAGTCCTCTGAGTCGATCCCTGAAGGGTAAGAAAATATTTCGAACAAATGAGAGTTATCCGTTCATCTATCCGGTGGAGGACGATACGAAAATGGTACCCGATAGTATTAAGGAGGCTTCAGAATTGTTCGCCTCTAGAGTTCAAGAGAAACTGAGTCTCAAACAACTATGGGCTGAGCGTGATATTTTTGTAAAACAGGAAAGAGGGTGGGTGGATCCTGTGGTTGATGAGAATGTCGATTTTGACTACTCCAGATGGAAGAGCACGCAACATCAGGATCTATTGGACTCTTTAAGTAGAGTTGAACAACTCTACAAATCTTCATTAAGCCACTTGGCCTCAATGGTACATGTTATAATCCAACTAGTTGTGAGTTCTCAAAACTCAATGAACCTATTGTTGGACAAGGAGGTTAGAGGTTCAGATATCGATATCTTGAGAACGAAGGAGATCCTCTTGAAAAACGCAACCAGCATTCTGCATTTACTTCTGAGATGGTTCAAGACAAACCACATCTTACAATTCGAATATCTTAGTGGCCTGATCTACGACTTTAACTTCCTCTCCGTTGTGATCCAGTACCTGAACACCATGGATACGAGGTTATTGGATAGAATAAACCTCATTGACGCATATGTGCCTACAAATTCACTCTGGGTGGACAACCCAGCAGTTGAAACCATCGATAAAAACTTCTGTTGTTCATTGGTCAATCTGCTACAGATTACTTCAATGGTGTGCCAAAAGAAAACACAAAGGATCCTCTCTATTAGCGAGCTGAACCCTGCACCTGCGTTGAAGAATATCTTGTCATTGTCCAATCCGTCTCTTTGGTCACCTGTGCTGAAGATTTCCAAACAGATCACATCCTTCAATGGTAAAAAATGGAAGGCTAATAACATGGATCTAATATCCATGGTGTATATACATGGTAAGTTGGATTTAAAAGACAACTGGCTCTCTGGCAGAGATATTGATGCTGAAGTTGCAGACGCTTATGGACAAGAGATTGCCCTCAGAGCGTTGGTGCAGTTCTTTAATTCGAGGAGATATGGTGATACGATGAAGGAGTTAGGATACACCAGTAAGCGTGGTGACTTCTTCACAAGAGAAATTGAGCTTATTTCCAGTGATCTCTGACTATGGACTAATCCAATTCGACTATTCAGTTTCTGGCCATAACTCCTTTTTTTCATATTTAGAGCAATATTCATACCAGACCAAGTAATGCTATAACCTCTAGGAATCTCCAGTTGCTTAACCTTCAACAAGTATCGTTGTTCTGAGTCCAGCCTGATTTTCCTTGTCCGTCAATCCTGAGATGTAAAAGCTCATAACCATGAAAAGCACACCGCCTGCACTCCGCAAGAAGATCAACAAAACATTTGCACTACACATTAGTCCGTATGCTCTAACTATTGAGGTTGTTCCGCAATCAGTAATGCTACATCTATTGCCTCTCGAGATAATTGGCCAGATACTCTTGTATCTTGATGTCGCTGACATAGAAAGCGTTCTCTCTGTTGATCAATTCAAGTACGCTTTACACGATAAGGTACTGCTGGTGGTTGATAAGGTTTACGACTACAGACGCTTTCCTTCAATTAAGAATCGGTGCAAGTGGACAGATATACACAGCCATTCCTTGGTACTCAAGAGCATGCTCTGTATAATAGTTGTCACGGAAGCGACCCATTATTTGAGTCCCACCAAACTTTTAGAAGGGGGTGGGCTGGTAAAGTACTATTACATCTCAAGGCCAGGAGATCCCAAAGTCACAATTACGCCAGATTCGTTGGAGAAAGTGGATCTTAGCAGGAACACGTTCTTCTTTTCAGAACTGGAGAAAGTGACACTCGATAATATGGGCTTGCTTTCGCCAATGCTGCAATTCCCAGACCTTGTAAGCCTTACGCTTGAAAACACAACTTTTCTACCAGAGAACCTGAACTTGCCAAAATTGGAAGAGTTATCCTTAATTTCATGTGAAAGCACAGACACTTTTTCAAGATGGAATCTACCACTACTGAATGAGCTGCTGGTCACAGGGAAGTTCAAGACGATCAATGATTCGATCGATTATGGGCACTCCACAATAATGAGTCTTAGGCTCCAAGAAATTACGGATATGGAGAAGTGGTCTAATGTCTTTAGTCCTTCATTATCATACATTAGTGCAGAATTTTCCACTGGAATTCAACAGGTAACATTGGAAAATCTGAACTTTTCTTCATTGGAAGTATTCAGGTCATCGGCAAACTCGTTCAAACTTCATCAATTGTCGTTTCCCAGGGTTAAATCATTCGGGCTCCAAACTGCATTGGAAGATGGGGAAGAGGACGAGATGTCATATTTTAATGCTCCAAATTTGATCGTTTTTCATCTCCAAAATTTACAATTCAAAACTCTTGATCATATTTATACTCCTGCTTTGGTATCTGTTGATATACTCGACGTTAAGACTGTTGGAACTCATAACTGTGATCATACATTCCTTAAAGGTATTGAAACCATGAATGTCATTTCATCTGATTGGTGGAAACACACAGATAGTTTGAAACTCTTGACTGTTGAGAATGTAAGACTACTATACGAAATGGGCGACCATTATTTTCCTCATCTGTCCAATCTTATTATCGCACCTACTACAGCTAACACGGATACAACGCCAATAAGTTTACCACTTTTAATGGCACCATGCCTTGAGAAGATTGAATTTTTGGGCATCCCAGGCATTTACGATCTGAGTGGGCTTAACCATTATCGAGACTCTCTGGAGAGTTTATATCTGTTCCAGTCCGATTACACTGGTGAAATTGTTTTTGACGATCTATATCTTCCTTCTTTGCTTGTTTTGATCTGTGAATTCGAATTTCCTGAACGCTTTATTATCCAACATTGCAAGTTCCCAGAGCTAATCGAGCTTGAATTGAGAGGAAGTGAAGTTTTTTCAGATCAAACAGCAAATTTACAATTCTCTTCACTGGAACTACCCAGCCTCAAGCTTCTTACTCTATCAGGGATATATCTGAGCCAAACACTTGATCTATCAAAATACCCATTAACTAAGATATGTTTAAATCACTGTGGAGGTTTAGAAACAATTATCATGCCACATGATGCTGCCATAGACTTGTTTGAAATAGAGCCCCATCCAGAAACTGAAACAAATCTGATCACCATTTATCATGACCACACGTTTGATCCATCTAAATATTGCAATTTGTATGATAGAGTGGATCTCATGTTCATTGAGGTTGGTTCAACAAAGGAAGTCAATGATGTAATCCCTTGATTTGGGGTAGTGGCTCAATAGCCGATTCCAATGTTCATTAATCTACTCACCAAGGCCTGTCATCTGATGAAATATATCTTTATAACAAATTAGGAGAATGGTTTTTGTTCATGAATTGATACAATGTCCAGTTGCGCGTATACACAAGTAAATCCATGGTAGTTAATAAAACTCTGATGATGGTTAACGAGTTCCCTTTATCTTTCCTAAATAGGAAGTCTACATTTGTAAACAAAGGAAAATAAACAAAAACAAAAACGTAAACAATCACATCCGCGTTTGAATTGAGATCTGTCAAAGTGAATAGCGTCCACAATGCCCAATCACACCGACAGCCTATTACACAGTTACCTCAAGAGATTGGTGCTATTCATTGTTAGCTCTGAAGAGGACGCAGAGTACTTATTGCGCGAACTGTTACAACGGATTCAACATGGCGCGGAGTCTCAGAGAACGTATCAGTTAAGTGAGGTATTGCCAGCTGTACGGCGCCTGGTTCCACAACATAGCTTTGCTCAAGTAGAAAGCATTATTGAGCAGCTTGTACGAATTGAAGATGCGAACGTGGTTGCAAGATATCTGGTTGTCTTGTCAACTATTTTAAGAGACTACGCAGGGAAGAGAGAGTCTGCTGAGAAGGATTACAAAAGTGTTATCGACGACAGAGCTTCACATTATGGGCATTTGACGGTGGATTCGTTTGAAAATGCAAACTTTGATAGAATGTCTGATAGAAGATCCGTGTACTCGGCTCTGTATAACGAGCCTCGAGCTCTAACCATGGAAGATACGTTGATTCCATATCTAGAAGATCAAGTTCCAGAACAGGATATCTTGAGATCACTACCATATGCATTGCTTGGGACCACTTCAGACTTGTTCCCTTTGAAAGACGGTGCCATTCTTCTCCCGAGAAATATATCTAATGGACTAAGTGGTGCGTTACATGTGATTTTAGAAGCAGGCTTGATATATCAGAAGCTCTGTCAAGTGATTGATTCATCGAAAGGCTATGAATCATCCCAAGTTCATGTGGCCTTACTCAGCTTTGTTTCAGATCAAATATCTGGGTATGTTCAGCTTGTCAATGAGATATCAATAAGGCAACACTTCACTCTAAAGTCTATCTACAGCGACCTCTTGGATACAGTGGTAAGGTTGAGATTCCTCCTTTTCATTTTAAAAACTACAGAAGGGAAACCTCCTTATGAAATGCTATCAATTATACATTCTTATCATGACCATGGTGATCCTGAAATTCAATCATGCGCTCGCAGAATGCTGGGCTACACTCTTGAACCGTTTTTAAAGTCGCTCTCCGAATGGATCATTAGAGGTGAATTGAACGAGAAGAATAATGGATTTTTCGTAAACAGGCAACCACAAAACCAGCAGTCCCTGAGCCTTGGTGTGTATTACCAAGCAGATAGTGTACCATCATTTTTAGATGTTGCTCTCAGTGGTAAAATCTACTCTATTGGTTTAATGATTGTGTTTTTGAAGTATCACTGCCGACAAATGAAATGGATTAGTGAATTCTCAGAGAGAACTGGAACTCTTTTCAATCAGCTTCGACTAAATGCCAGTGCAAATTTTATCAAGGGAGCCAAATTTCACACGTTTATTGATAACACGTATGCCAGTCTCCTCAATTTCATGACTTTTATAATTCACGATAAGTTTTCATTGATGGCAACACTAACAGCTTTACGCGATTATTTGTTGATGGGTCGTGGGGATTTCATACAGGCCATTATTGACAATGGAAGAGAGCTGTTAAGCGAGCCTTCGAACTCTTTAACTGGGCATCAGTTGACGCGTTTACTACACGAATCAGCTTCCAACACAACTTCAAGATATGAATTGTCAAATCTCGGCGATTTGGATGCCAGACTTTTGGCTATTGGACATGGAAATGTTGGATGGGATGTATTCACTCTAGACTACAGAGTGGAATCTCCATTGAATATTTTGATCAATGATTCCTCAAACCAATTTAAGAAGGACTATTTACGTGTTTTCAACCACTTATGGAAGATCCAAAGACTATGCGATAGCTACACACAGCTCTGGCTCCAATGGAAAAATGTGCAAACCGCTGAAAAACGCATCACCAGAATCAGACTCATCCATAATTTCATTCTTGGTGTGTTTGAGTCTATCCAAAGTTTCATCTACTATGAGATAATTGAAAATGCATATGCAGATCTACAGAAGAAATTCAGAAGGAGTGATGAGATGGTGCAATTTGATATATCAACAGTCAGTTCCAAGTTGAAAGTGTCTTCTGTTGTGCTGAAACCATCATTCGACTACTTGAAGCAAATTAATCTTTCGGATGATGCTACAAACACATTCGAGACAATTTTCCAAGAGATACCAATTCAAGATATTCAAAAGTTTCATTCACAATTCCTTCACAGTATCACAAAGCATAAGTTAATGGATATTTCAAAGGATTCCAATAGGGGCACCATCTCGAACAAGTTCTTAATCAACCAGTTTAACAGCTTAGTTCAAATTGCATTCAAGTTCTCGCTTGCTGAAACTGAATTGATTAAGCTTTTAAGCTTGGAGGATACTGAGTGGAACTCACAAAGAGAGGACGATCAACGTAAAGAGGCAATTTTCAAAAATCTATTGATGTTGTTTAACGAGTTCAACGGTGACTTGAAGACATTTGTGGCGGACTTGAGTAACGACCAGGATATTCAACTCCGTCATTTAGGACTGGTACTAAACCACTGATTTGAACACTACAATTGCGTACCACCGTACATACTCGAGTTAAGAATTTCCAGTACGAAACAGCATTAACTGTAATTTGAAGCGAAGGACCAGATGGACTCAGCTCCACAACCAAAGAAGCATGGAAAATCGTTGCCAAATGTGGAACCCAGTAGACAGAGAGTGGCGATCATCTGAAAATATTTCCAAACATTTGGTTGCAGTGTATCTAAAATCTTTTAGAACATCATTAGTTATGACAGCCCTGCAGGGAGTATACCCCAAATTCAGGCACACTGCAAAGAGTAGAGAGGCCGCTCAAAGGAGAGATCGGTAACATCGAATTTGAAGTTAAAGAGCAACAAAATAGGATATGTCTGATAACAGATTGCAACGTCACATGTCGTCTGTAACTACAATATATGGACTATTCACGATTGGTCATAATAAGTATCGGTCCTCAGAGTGACAGGTTTCGATAGCAACAGCTTGTCTAATATAACCGTGGGGCGTGTATCGCAGTACCGCTAACCGTTTTACACACCAAGGCAATCAAGAGAGCACAGACACTCATAACGAAGCATCAAAAGGGAATAGGATCCATCACAGAGCGTGAATCGATACACACAATGAATCATACCCACTGGTACCTTCCACGACCTTTGAACAATAGCAGGCTACACAGTTAAGATGATTCTGGTATGTGCAACAACTTCAAATTTGAAGCCCTTAAGCGCCAAGGAAAGTTGTAATCTCCGATGATGCACTTCTGAAGTTTAAGATTACCTGATCAGAGCCTTTGGGCGAATTTTGACCTCATTGACACAATAAGTATCAAATTTTCAGTCTCGCCTTTAGATAAGGACTGCCCCTGCTGTTGAGAGCAGTTAGTCATTATCAAAGTCTCAGCGGCAGTTAAATACATTCCAACTTGTCTTACCAGAACACACCACACTTTGTAATTAGCTGATAGCGGCGGTCCAAAAGATGCCTGTCAGTTTCCTTTCCCAGTCACAAGGTTCCCAAACCAGGGGCAACTCCAGCATTCCGTATACAGCCTCAGAACATGCGATTGAGGAGGAGAGTGAATACGAGAATGAGAGCCCAAGATCGTCCCTATCCTCGTCTGCTATCTCCAATAGTGATAGTGTCACAGTGCGAGCGCTGGTTCATGGTCGGAGTGGCTCCACATGTACAGGCACAACGACGAGGATAGGCAGAATTAGAAGTTTAAGGGATCAGATTGCCGATGATAACAGATCAATCATTCAGGAGGAAAGACTGGGCAAAGATAACCTCGATAGACACTTACAAAGAGAATTCTCCATCGAGGATGCTCTAAGGTTGAGGACGAATCGTGCAACGTCGTTCAGCGTAGGAGAAAACATTGAGGAGCACGTTCCAAAGCGGAGAGCTTCAACTGTGGAAAGGGTCTTTACCAATGTCACTACGGGAACTGTGGATCTTCCCCCAGATGGTGGGTATGGTTGGGTTTGCTGCATTTGCGCTCTAGTTGTCCTGTTCTCCACTTGGGGAAATAACAGTGCTTTTGGTGTGTACCTGTCCTACTACATAGACAATGACGTCTTTCCTGGAGCAACACAACAGGACTTTGCCTGGATTGCGGGATTGATTGTCTTTTTGGCACAGTTCTTTGCTCCATTTGCAGTGATATCAGAAAGATTGATTGGATTCAAGACCACTATGTCCATAGCCTGTGTTTTCCACTTTGTTGGTTATCTACTTGCATCCTTTGCTACTAAGCTGTGGCATTTATTTGTGTGTCAAGGTGTGATTGTTGGTATCTCATACTCTTTCCTCTTTGTTCCTGCGTGCTCAATTATTCCAAATTGGTTTTTGAAGAAAAGAGCCATTGCATCAGGAATCTTATGTTCGGGTACAGGTCTTGGTGGTATGGTTTATTCCTTGTCCATCAATGCCCTCATCCAGAAAACCGGTGATCAGAGATGGTCTTTACGAATGGTTGCAATTGTCACAACTGTTTCACTGGCGATTGCAATCTTCTTTATAAAGAAGAGGAACCAACCACCACGACAGAAGGTGAACTGGATAAACTTTAGAGATAATCTGAGAGCAATGTTCAGTACACAGATACTAAAGGCACCACAACTGTGGTATATAACACTGTGGTTTTCGCTAGCCCTACTTGGTTACAACATGACTCTATTTTCGTTTGCGTCGTCTGCAACAGCATTAGGGCTCTCACAGCACCAAGCCTCTGTTCTCACTGCGTTAATCAATGCAGCACAAGCAGTTGGTCGTCCCACTATGGGACTCATCGCCGATGCCTATGTCGGAAGAGTGAACTATTCTATCATTCTGAATATCGTAGTTATCATTCTGATATTCGGATTCTGGATGGTGGCAAGGTCCTTTACCGCGTTGTTGCTGTGTGGCCTTTGCCTGGGGTTCACACTTGGCGTGGGAAATGTAATGAACTCTGTTCTAATAGCAGATGCATTCAAGGCAGAGGACTTCGCTGCCGCTTGGTCAATCCTTAATATGGTGATGGCGTTCTTTGTTTTGTTCGTCGAAGTTATTGCACTGTCATTGAGGGATAACTCTCTGTCGAATCCCTTCCTCTATGCGCAGATATTTGCCGGGTGCATATTCGTCGTCGCCCTACTCTTCCTCTTCCCATTAAGAGAATGGCATATCAAGGCCATGTTGGGGAGAAGGCGTGCAGAGACTCAACGAGAGGTGGAAGAAGTACAAGGAAGGAAAGTCCTCTCTTTGCCTGTGAGCGAAGACTACGTTGTGAAGTTAGATACCAAGCAGGAGAACTATAACCACCTTTTGAGCGAAACACCACGTGGCTATATCAAGAGAACGCTGTATCCTTTGAAAGTGTAAGCTCAAATATTCATGGAGATTAATGTTGATTTTACTTTCTTTCTTCTTTGTCCCGATTAGGCAATTTGTAAATAAACAAACTCAAAACAACAAGAAAAAAGAAAACAATAGTGGGACTTCCGCGAGTTTGGAAAAGTTGATGTTTCTTGCTTTGTTTACTATCTCGAAGATTAGTATAATAACGTCTGAATCACACTTACATCAGACCATTATATCTCATCATGTCTGAGCAATGGCGAGAGTACGTTGATCTGGGAGACTCCAGCAGGTATGGTACTCCTTTGAAGCTTAGAAACCCAGCGGTGATGAACCTTAAGGAACAAAGCAATGACAAGAAAAGGGGCCCCACTACTCCGTTGACCCCTACTTTGATCCAGAAGAACATCGTCAAGAAACAATACACATCCAACGAAGACATATCAGTGAAAACGATCGATTTAAGGGAGGCTAATGGGGAAAATTACAGGTTCAACGAAGACGGTAGTTCTCCAAAGTCTCGAAGAACATCGTTGTGTCCTACGGGTCTGAAAACCTTTCAAGAACAACAGAACGCAACGCCGAAGATATCTGCTGGTATCAAGCAGGCTGTGAGGGAGAATAAGAAGTCTAGGCTACAGATATTAAGAGGATCGGCAAACACTGGTGCAGATGTATCGGTCAGCGAGAGTGAGTACAGCGAGATGTCAACCATATCAGGTGAGACTCCAAATTACAAACTTAACGGGAATCTCGTGTACTACAAAAACGGATACTATCTCGATAGTGTAGATGATTCTTTTGCTGAATTGGAAAGAGAAGCACTTGTGAATGAAAAGGAATTACAAAGAGTAGACGATATTGTTGAGTTTATGAAATTGGAAAGAAAGTACGAGAGGGAAAACAGCTGAAGTAAATGCCTGTGTGTAATATTAACAATACCATTAATAACTTATTAGTAGCATTAGCTATTCTGAAGCCATTCGAGTAGCATGCAAGGGGGTGGTTGTGCACAAGGTGTGCAAAATGCTGCAACAGTAGATGATCAGCTGAGTAAAGTATATATCTCTTTAGCGCTGATTCTCTCTTTTGATTCGTAAGTCATCATTTTTTGGAATACTTTTCTTATCTGATTGTCAACACCTGGTAATATCTGTTCCATCGGTTTACCAGGATGAGGTAAAAGTTGAAGACGTTCAAAAGTTGTAGACTTCGCTGCTTCTGGCCATATCTCCAATGATGGGGTTCCAAAAGTTGAAAATATCATCCCCATCAGTTTGAAATCAACAATGTCTTCATCTTCAAATACGGGCTTGAGATCTTTGCTGAAAACCAACGTCATAACTATTCCTAGGGCCCAAATGTCAACACCATATCCATAGTCTGCAATGTGAAAGAGGAGCTCTGGTGCCTTGTAGATGCCAGTACCAATATCACAAATCTTGTTTGAATCAGACTCCTTGCCAAAGTTGTTAGGAATCTTGTAGCTGATGCCAAAATCAATAATCACAGGCGTTGGGTTATAGCCCTGGAACATGATGTTATCCGGTTTTATGTCACGATGGATGACGCCTAATCCATGGAGAAAGTCCAAGCCATTGGCGACACCTTTTATAATTTCAACGCCTTCTTCTAAAGTTAAACTGCTGATATATTCAGCCGTTGTCGGCCTTGAATCCACGTTGATGTATGGATTGAAGTGTGAAGCTTTGGTCCTCTTCGCATGTCGTCTGAGCCAACTTGTAAGTGTAAAGGCGTAATATGGGAACACCATGGCGGTATCAGTGAGATCCTCTGTAAAGACATCTAAAAGTGTCGTGATATTGGCTGGTGCCTTCTCTTGGGCAAACTGCTTCAATAGACGAACTTCGTCGCGTGAGCAATGTGGAGGACGTTCGTCGTCTGTACAGACGACTTTGATGGCAACTTGTAAGTTTGTCTTTGCACAAATGGCACTGTAAACATCAGAAAACCTCGTACACTTTATTCTCTTCCTTTCTTTGTAATTATTCATCGCGGTGCTAAGAAGTTGGTGATGGTGGTTGGTGACGTTGATGTTATTGGAAGATATCTCATGTTTTTACCTCCAAGTGGTACGGGCGAAACTTAAGCAGTGATGCGTTCAAAGGAGATCAAAACTTACGGAGAAAGGGAAACAACATACCAATTTTTCATCCTATAAATAACAACGCACATTGCTCCCAGACAGATGTCTTCGTTCTTGCAAGATGCTGTGATAACAGAGTCCGTGCTTGTTGGTGCAAGCTTGAGTGACATCCAAAGATTGTGCAAGGCAAGATCACGGTTGCTCAACTCCACAGAACGGACCGTCATATGGCCAAAACTTGCTGGACTCCCTGATGAGGTCTATGGAGAAGTTGATGAAGGGTGGAGAACACAGCCATGTCATAGAGATGAGGATCAGGTAATGCTTGATGTTCAAAGAACTCAGTTCCTGGTGCGGTCGGGATTACAGACCAAGGATAATGAAAAGTACCGTGAGGAGCTCAATGACCTCATCGTAAGGCTATTGAGGGAGCACCCAACTTTGTCATACTACCAAGGCCTCCATGACATTGCGGCACTGATACTTATTGTACTGAAGGATAGAGATGAACCAGAAGTTACGTACAAGTTCTTTGAGATGTTTTCGTTTTGTCATTTGAGAGACTTCATGATGCCTGACTTGACAATGTCCACTCAAATGTTGAACATGGTTCCTGAATGCATATCGCTTGTGGATAGACAACTGTACGACGAATTGAGTTTGGAAAGTATGAAGCCGTTTTTCTGCTTATCACCAATCATTACATTGCTCACACATGACATCAAAAACTTTTCATCGTTATGTCTTATATTTGATCAAGTTCTAGCATGTGGATCCATCGGCATTGTAGTCTATATCTACGTGGCATTAATGATCAATCAACAGGATAAGTACCTTGAAAAGATTAGATTGATGGAGCAGGAGGACATGTTTTCTAGGGAAGACTTGGTCCATAACGCATTATCCAAGTTCCTAATGGATGTTTCTTTAGACGATGTTGAATTGGCCATTGCAGATTCGTACAAGATTCTTGAGAAGTGGCCGCTAGAGAAACTGAAGAGCTTTAAAAGACTGAGGAAATGGAGTGTGATGAAGACCACGTCTAAGGTCTACGTGGGCGACATAAGGAAGCTTGTACAATTTAGGGCTGAGACCGATTTTGATAAACTAATGAAGAAGCAAATGATGCCGTCACCTATGATCGTGAAATTGTTGATGAATGAAAAGAATCACCGTCTAATAAAGATCTCCCTTAGCGTTGGTATCATCAGCATTGTCCTTAGTATACTGTTAAACAAACACCATCCTCAGAGGTATACTGCCCTTTGCCAGACAGTATCGAGTTGGTTGGTAAACACAAACCACGCAGGAAAACTGCATTCATTCCTTGATGGATTAGGATTGCCGTGAGATGTGATCTATATATTGAATTGACTATTCTATCCCCACTTCGTAGACGAACGCACTTTCAATGCTCGATCCTTGCCATCCACGGTTACCACTAGCACTAATCATATACCTATATGTTGGGTCAAACATTATATCACAGACTGTACCACCGTGGTGGCCTGGAACGATAAGGAATGGCGTCTTTTTCTGTGAGTCTGAATGGAGTCTCAAATCATAGATTCTTATGTTGTCATATGACCCACAGACCACATGGTTATGATTTGGCAAAGCCGATACTGCTGTAACTGCACCTGAAACTGAAGGGAATTTAAGTGTTCTTGCCGGCGTTGGATCACCACTAGAGTTGAAAGGCATCTTTAATGAAAACTCTTCGACGCAACTATTTCTTCTTCCAGCGAATATCGAGTTACCGTCATAAGACCAACAAGCCGATACACACCAAGGAGGTGTTCCCTTAGGTGGTTTCAGTCTAAGCACGTGTTTATGGGTTCTAACGTCCCAAACATAAAGTGATCCATCAACGGAGGATGATAAAAAGACATTCTCATCAACTTCAGACTGTGGATCCCCTGGCTGATTGTTTTCTTTGGGTTTATCAGTGACATTGTTGCGGTTATCGTCGTCGTCGTCGTCGTCTCCAAACAGTGAATCCATATCGTCATCATCCGGTTGAGCCTGTTGAGCTTGATCTAAAGAGATCCCACCTGATGGTCTATACTGTATAGATGATATCTGTCCAGTTGAATCTTTGAAATTTGCGATTTGATTCCCGGTGTTCAAGTCCCATTGGATTATATTGTTATCCCAACTTCCGGATAGAAATTGATCTTGTCGTTGGTTTAGCTGCAGCACAGACACCGAGTTTGAATGACCCTTGAAATGGTGTACAATTCTACCTTCGTTGTGCCTGATAGATTGCAAATTGATACCGCCGGTTGATAACCCACCAAGAAGCCAAAGACAATTGTTTTCCACCGCTAAGGAGTACACTGGGGACAATTTAGGCTCATACGTATCACCCTTTATCGAGCTTCTCTTCACGGGTATTTCGTTGTCCCAGTATGCTAGCAGTACACCGGCATTTGTAATCAGATCAACCAATGAGTGTCTCTGAGCAGATGTCAATTGGATTTCACCGTCAATGGAAGCAAAGAAATCGTACTTCCTTATGAACCCATCCTCACCACCAGTGAAAAGCCACTTAGACGTCTTTGGAAGTGCAAAGCAATTTATACCAGTTGCGTGTGGAATGGCAACTTTCGGCACTATATCGTAGGAATCAGCCAACGAAGCCTTCATTATGAGAGAGTTGTAGAACGCTTGATGCTTTGCCGCCTCATCGTCAATGACAACTTCTTTTGTGCTGACCGAGGTCGCAGGACTGTCCGCGGTATCTCTAGTGCCATCAACGTCATTCTCCTCTTCATCCTCTTCATCATCGGCCCCTTGTTCCTGTTCCTGCTGCTGCTCCTGTTCTTCGTCTTCTTCCATATCTTCGTCTTCATTCTCGTGTTCCGGCTCATTCACCTTCTCAAGAGAGTTCAGCTCCTCCTCTTCCTCCTCCATCTCTTCATCCTCGTCTTCGCCTAGCGGAATATCAGACTCCTTAAATATGTCATCCTCTTCCAAAGCCATTTCGTCTATTCGTCCCTTGGTCTTTGTTTACAAATGTCCAAGAGCTTTGTTTTGTGGTTCTGTTTCTCTTTGAATTTTTCACGTGCTCGTTTCTCCAACGACCAAGCATGTCAGCTCCCGCTATAAAATTTACAGTGGGCATTTCCCCCGTCCCCTTGAATTTTATCACCTCATCGTCAGCTTAACATAACGTGTATACAACACTGACAGAGCAGCATCAAATGAGTGACCAGTTTGCCGTTGAAACAAACCATTTAACGTACAAGTTCTCTAACGGGAAGGTTGGGCTTGCCAATATCGAGCTTGAACTTCCATGGAGATCCAGAACGCTCCTTGTTGGTTCTAACGGTGCAGGTAAATCTACATTGCTAAAGCTTCTCGCAGGTAAGACTTTGAGCACTGCGGGGACTATTGGTATTGGGGGACACGATCCTTTCAGAGGTGGCTCGGACGCTTCAAACATCACCACTTATCTTGGTACCGAATGGGCGTCTAACCCAATTGTGAGAAGAGACATCCCGGTGACAGTGCTGATTGACTCCATCGGTGGTAGTGTCTATGCGGAAAGACGTGATGAGCTCATCGAGTTATTGGACATCGATCTGACCTGGAGAATGCATCAGGTGAGTGATGGTGAAAGAAGAAGAGTACAACTGGCCATGGGCCTCTTGAAGCCCTGGAAGGTTCTACTACTGGATGAGGTCACTGTGGATCTCGACGTGTTGGTGAGACAGAGGCTGCTGTCCTTCTTGAAGAGGGAGACTGAGACGAGGGAATGCGCCATTATCTATGCAACCCATATCTTTGATGGGCTTGGACAATGGCCAACAAACGTCATCCATATTCAGAGTGGTAAAGTACTAAAGAACCTGAAGTGTGGAACCGACTTGGTGTACGATACCTCCAGCTCTGTGTGCAACGATGGTGATGGTATCCAGGACCACATGGACCAGCCTGTGATTAGAATTACGGATGAGGACTTTATACGAATCCAAGCGGTGAACAGTTTGCATCCACTGGCACTTGAATGGCTCCGTGCCGATCTCATGACGAGAGGTAAGCGTGAAGAGGGAGATCTCAACCGTCCGAAATGGGAGGACCTCGAGAAGGAGCTTAAGATATACTTTGACGGTGGAGATCGTATCACCGGGTATTTCAAGGCAACGCGCTCAACATAAGGTGGTACAACGCTTTCCTGGATCATACGTCAATGTTTTGGTTGGTATACTGAGAGGAGAGAAAAAAATTATACATCTATCATGAATTATCGCACCACTCTTTTTGGTCGTATAAGAAATGGACGTTACGTGGGGCATTTCACGTTTTATATTGGATGACGGAATCACTACAGGACAGCATCGCTCTGTGAAATACACACTTATAATCCTAGGATATAATAACACTGCATTCTTTTACTCCTACAAGGCCGTATGTATTCAACAAGTCCATTAGAACTAATCTTCGTTTATCAGCTTTATCAACCCACAGGCAGAGGAAGCGAGAAGGAGGAAACCTCATGATGGAGAAAGCTGGTTGGCGCCGCATAAACAAACGAAGATCAAAACCGCTAAACGACAACTTTTTGTATGTGGCGCATAAGGAGTTTTAAACGAGCAAAACCACAAAAGAAACAACAGTTCGTACGACATTGGGGGAAATACAACGCGGTAAGAATGAAAAAAGAAGAGGAAAACACTGCGAGAAGTTAAACGACGCACATTTGTGGTAAGAGAGGAAAAACATAGGGAAGGAAAAAAAACATCATCCAATAAACAAATATAAGCACACCCTATTTCCTTCGTGCTTTCACTTTCCGGGAAACTTTTTCCTTTCTCTAATTTGCTTCCTTCTCTTGAGTAATCCTTCAACAAAGAACAGGCATCTATTACTCTGGGCGAAATGGATTTAGTTCTTGAGTTCTTTGACGCCTATGGACTGGACTACGTCTATGCACATCTCTTCCCGGCTTCACTGGGATCGAAGATTCCGCTTTCAGTGCAACAGTCGTTGGCCCTGAGCAACTCCACGTTGAGTGAGAACTTTACAGAATCAGCACACAGACTGTTCCAATCGAGCAGCTCGATCAACGAAGTTGTGTCTGAGCTGGTGCAGTCGGAAAAGTACGGTGTCTTGCCTGTGTGGTTCCGCACAACAGCGGACACATATGCCTCGCTCTTACCAAGAACAAACCTGTTGAGACAAACGCTATCGCTGTTTGTCCTTTTCAGCATTTTCGGGTGGGCATTATATCTTTCCGTTGCTTCGATGAGTTATCTCTTTGTATTTGACAAGGCAATCTTCAACCATCCAAGATATCTCAAGAACCAGATGTCTCTGGAGATACAAATGGCGATCTCTTCGATCCCAGTCATGGTGTTACTCACAATCCCATGGTTCCTCTTGGAGCTCCAAGGCTACTCGAAACTTTACTGGGACGTTGACTCCGTGTACGGTGGATGGTGGGCAATCCTGTGGCAATACCCTTGTTTCATCATGTTCACCGACTTTGGTATTTACTTGATCCACAGATGGCTCCACTGGCCTGGGGTTTACAGGGCACTGCACAAACCACACCACAAATGGTTGGTGACCACCCCATTCGCATCGCACGCGTTCCACCCTGTGGATGGATATGCTCAGTCGCTGCCTTACCATATTTATCCTTTCCTTTTCCCGCTTCACAAGTTGAGTTATCTGATCCTCTTCACATTTGTTAACTTCTGGACCGTGATGATCCACGACGGTGAGTACCTATCAAGGGATCCCGTCATCAACGGTGCTGCTTGCCACACAATCCACCACCTGTACTTCAACTACAACTATGGTCAATTCACCACTCTTTGGGATAGAATTGGTAACAGTTACAGGGAACCAGACCAAGAGCTGTTCGACAAGAGTAAAAAGAAGGATAAAACAACTTGGGAAACCCAAATCGAAAAGATGGAGGCCATAAAGAAGGTTGTTGAGGCTGATGACGTTGATGACAGAGTCTACATCGATACCGCTGACTCTAAGAAAAATAAATGATACGATAAACATATACACTTTCTCCTTTTATTTTCACTAATTGGAACGGTTACGATGAACGGTAAGGAATTACAACTTATATTTAGGAAAAACAAAAAAACAATTGAATGAAGATGATATGCCATTTGTGTACTTTCTGGTCTTTCTCTTGTAGTTGGGCTGTTTTTGTATGGCTGTCCTAATACGTTTGCCGCTATATTGATGTAGGAAGTGTTTTTGTACACAAAACTCATCTGCCTGGGAAAGGAGTAAAATGGTGGTTATATCACCTTCATCAGGAGGTCTCTGAAGAGGTTGTGGGATTGACTGTTGAGCCAAACATGCCAAAACTCACGGTGCTTATTAGTCTGTCGATACTTGAAGGAACAACCACATCAGTAGATCCGAAATTCTAACTATTCCACCTAGTTGGTGATACTCCGTTAACACACCATTTGGCTTCCTCTTGTGCGCAACTTGCAACCAGTATCGATTTAACTAGGGTGTCGTTGTACACGGATCATGTCTTTGAATGGGCACAAGGTGCATCTGAACCTTTGAAATTGACCATCAATAATGGGTGCTTTAGAACAATTATGGAGATGGATTCATCAGGCCTTACCTTAACATTTGCAGTTGTTGTCATTGCCTCATCTAATATCCCTCTATTTGATGACTCTTTGCTGATGCTCTCGAAATACGTTACAAATGACTCTATTCTTATAGTGGATTCCGAAATGGGAATCGGGCTTGAAACGCGTGTATTCCATTCATTGCCAAATGTTGGATGCGTCAACACTTGTTCTGTTGGTGCTGTTGATGTAATTGGTTATTCAAAGTTCACCGTCAAGTCGGCTCTGAAAATTGTTATGCTGTTACCATCTTGTGAGATGAACCGCCATTTGTCAAACTTTGTTACAATGCTCTCCAAGTCCTGTGATATTCAAATCGCTTCAACTGCAGAAGATTTCCACGATGCTGCATGGTCAAAGTGTCTTAAACATGTGGCATTTGACGTTCCAGCTATCTTGTTTGGGGAGAACAGATATTCAAGATTAGTATCTGAAAACAGGATCAGGATTGTTGTTGAGGATTTGATCGATGAGGTGGTAGCATTGGCTTCATGTTACGGGGCAAAAAAATGGTCAAGTGGTATCTCACAGCTAGGTATTACATCGTTGCTGAATTCTCTTGCACTCAAAGTCACTGACAAAGCAGTCAACGAAGGTTTGGAGAATTACTTGTTGGCTTTGGTCTTTCACTTTTTACTTTTATCAGATACGTATGGAAGGCACTGTCCTGCCTTGGAGAGTGTGTATCCTATGTTGGTCAACAAGATTTCACCACCAATGGGAACCTTATCACCTACTGTTGAAAGCAACAATAATAATGCCTCTGCAGATTTAGACGAACTCCAAGAGCTTTTCTTTGATGCTGCCCAAATACCTTTAGATCCAGACTTGGAAGATACAGATATCAAAGATACAAAATATCTAGCATTCAACAACTATCGAGATTACGATAGACCATCTATTAGGACAAAAGCATTCAAACATAACGATTCACCTGATTCCTCCTTGGACGGTATGGAGACGTTGGAAAGTGCGTCAGAATTCTCAATCAAATGTCCTCCGGATAAGCTCAAGGTTACAAAGCATAATTATAAAGCACCAATGAACTTTAGTGGGAAGAAAACGTATGAACAATCTCACAGGAAAATGGCCATTGGTGTGGTTGACCGTAAAGCTCTTAGTGAACCACTGTTTAAATCCAGAGAAGGAGTTCTTCTGGCTATGCTAAACGATGGTGTTTATACAACAACCACTGAGCGATACGGGAGCGTCAGCCATAACAGAACTAGGCGTACTTGAATCATTAATGTGTCTATAGATATTTACCTATGTATTGCTCATCATTATATATTATAGAGCCATTGTAAGCCACTCCCAATTATTATTGGTTGCTCCACCATCTCCCGAAGCGGCTTGTGAGTTCTCGCCATGGGCTTCACTGTTTATGCTATTTGTATTTTCTTGAGAGAACTCGATCGATGGCATGAATTGAAAATCCGCATGATCATTAAAGCCAAAGTGATCCGGAGTTGGTACAGCAGACACAGTATTTGCATCTGTCATTTGAAGGTCAAGATCCATGTCACTGCCTCTTTGGCCTGGAGTTGTTGAGGCAGATGCTACTGAGGATATCTGCTTCTTTTTCAAGGTAGACTTCTTGGGTAAGTTTTTCTTCGTGGTTGGTACATTTGTCTTGTTTGGAGATGCAGGACTTGGTTCCTTCTTCATAGTATTTGACATGTTGCCTCTCTGTCTCTTCTTGATGACATCGGTCTTTAAAGACAACGGACGCACAACACCGTGTAATTTCAGGAATAACCCACAAGCATTACACAAAGGTTGACCTTCAGGGTTACGTCTCCATAGTGGTGTAGTCTGGGTGTTACAGTTTGTACATCTCGTGTTTGCATTTGAGCTGCTCTCATTCTTCTTCTGACTCACACTCGCCGTGGATAATTGTGTTGTTGAAGATGCACGTTTGCTCTTTGTCAGTTTGGAGGCAACTTGTTTCTTCTTGATTGCAGATGAAGTTGATTGTTTTCTTCCAACGGACGCCGACAACTGTGATTGAATTCCTGCTTCATCTATCATAGGGACATCGTCTCTATGAACCCTTCCATTTGTAGCATCCATAGAGGAGAAGTTTGTAATTGAAGAGACGGTTCTCAACTGACTTGCAAAGTTTGTACCGTTGCGTTGTGATCCGCCAAAATATGAGTCGAAAAACGATCCATTCTCCATCGATGGCGTTGGTGCAGTCGATGATGCTGGGGATTGACCATAAACTGAGTGGAGGAATCCTCCAGAGTTTTCTGAAAAGCTAGACGCATGGTGAAGCCCTGTGGGTACTTCATAAGATGAACTTATCGTATCCATAGGGTCCATGTACGAATTCACATCGTTTCCTGGTGAATCCATATAGCTCCCCATGAGATGATGACTGTTGTTGTTGAAGTGAGATGAGAAACTGTGTGCATTATTTGTTGAGCCATTGAAAACATCCGTTGGAGGATGTGATGGATTTGGAATCTCCATTCCAGAGTTTAGAAGGTACGGTTCTGGAGGCAGGTTCTGTTGTGGCTCCTCTTGTCCAATCTTCTTTATGTGTGCAACGTAGTCAAAATCGTCAGAAGTTGGGTCATTTGCTCGTGTTTCTTCCTTCTCGTGCTGCTCCATGAAGAACTTTGTAAGGTTCGATGTCACTTTAGGCTTGAGAGGAGCGTTGTCTATATCACTCCCAAAATCAAGGTATTCATCACTTGTACTAATGTGTGGTGGTGGTTCTAGACGTTGTGGTATCACTTGGTGTTCATCGGCAGTGGCATGGTAAGACTTGTGCCTCATGCCCTCCTCTCTCTCATACATTGCGTGCTCTTTCAACATCTTCATACTCATCATCCTCCAAGTCAAATTCTGCATCCTCTCCTTATACGGTAAAGACGCTTTCGCTTTCGAGTACATTCGCCATAGTGACTCGGCCGAAGAGTCGTCAATCTCAAAACTTTGAGAGCTCGACATCACCAACTTGTGAACTATCCCTTTTTTCGTTTTCTCTGTTTTCTTCAGAAGTATAGAAATTTTGACACTTATTGTAATGTATACTTCCTCCTGCACCGTCCGTGGTATCTCTAACGTTGAACTCACAACAGATGATGAGTCGTCTATTTAGGATTTATTGAATTGCCCTCTTATGTGTCTTTTAAGAGTATAATGACCGTATTGTAACGTTATTGATCTTCAATTTTTCCACACCAACTGCACATCAAGCTCCCGTCTCTTTAACATCCCACAACGGTCCCTTTCCAATTGGTGCTACTCCGACGCTTCGCAACTTCTCGGCTTTACCTTTGTTCAGGCGTTGCCCAAATCTCATTGGCCAGATAACAGCGTCCTTATCAGTTGGTATGCGCAGCACACCACGGAATTTCGGAAAAGGACAACCTTTGGCACCTAACGGTGTACTGCGCGCGACTAGTCGTAACGTTGCGTTTGGCCACAACGCTCCTCTCCAACGTTTCTGGGAAACGGGGCCGCTATGGAACACTACGGATAAATGATTGCTATGGTATATGTATATTGAACTAAATATGGGACTTGAAAACAGAAACCTCTCCAAAGGGGGGAGGGGAAGGGCGCCTACTCTTCTCTCAATGCATCGTACTTCAACACCGCTCCCAGTAACGTCATGAATCCTTCATGCACTTGCTCTGGCGTGCTGTACTCCTCTGGGTTATGAGATACACCATCTCTGGATGGAATAAAGATCATGGAAGTTGGAACGTGCAATGCTGTGGCACATGAGTCATGGCCAGCCCCTGAGACGATGTCCCTAATATCGTCCTTATCATACAACTCTTCAGCGCTCTCACGGACACATTTGATACATGTCTTGTTGAAGTGTGTAGCAGGCTGTGTGGCGATGTGCTCAAACTCCACGGTGATAAGATCACCGGTGGACTTGGCGATCTCAGCAAACGATTCTTTGGCTTCCTTGATCTGTAAAGCCATCTTGGAATCGTCTGGATGACGGAAGTCAAGACCGAAACTAACCTCGCCAGGGATAACATTCATGACACCTGGCTCCAAGTCCAAAGTTCCTGTAGAACCCATACCATCGTACTTATGTGCAATTTCGTTGACCTTAACAATCATCTTGGCAACGGCGAGCAATGCGTCACTTCTCATGTTCATTGGTGTAGTACCGGTGTGTTGTTCTTTACCCTTGACGTGAACCTTCCACCAGCTGTAACCTTGGACAGCAACAACAACACCAATCTTTTTGTCCTCACGCTCTAAGACAGGTCCTTGTTCAATGTGAATCTCAAAATGCGCTGCGATCGGCATTGCCAAATGAGAGCAGTCAACGTCTCCCTTGTATCCGATTCTCTCAAGTTCCTCACCAACTGTAACAGGTGTGTCGTCGGTTATGGATTCCATTTGATAGATCTCCTCCTTTGTGTTGAGGCCTGCCCACACTGAGGATGCCATCAACGCCATTGGGAATCTAGCACCTTCTTCGTTCATCCAGTTGATAAGAACGATTGGATATTTGGGAGTGTAATTGTTCTCCTTCAACGTTCTCAACACTTCAAGACCACTCAGTACACCGTAGATACCATCGTAACGACCACCTGTTGGTTGTGTATCCAAGTGAGAGCCCATGGCTGTCGGTTTAGCATCCTTTTGACCTGGGAAAAGGGCAAAGATGTTACCCATAGCATCAATGGTGATCTTACATCCCAACTTCTTGGTCTCAGCAACGAACCAGTCCTTAACCTTTTTGTCCTCATCACTGAGGGCAAGACGACAGACACCAGTCTCTGTTGGATCATCACCCCATGAGTGCTTTGCTCCAAAAAGTGCAGTTTCGTGGATCGTGTTGATCAGCCTTCCAGGCTGAACCGTCAACGATTGGGCCGAAGTTGAGAGTTTGAGGGTGCTTGTGTGTGTAGTTGTTGTCTGAGACATCTGTTAATCAATGGGGTTACATATCTCTGTAGTTTAAACCACCATCTTGAAGAGAGATGGGATCCCTTTTATAATAAAGGAAAGGAATCAGATTTAAATGTCGTGTTCCCTATCGGGATATCAGATTCAATTTGCGTCTTCCTAATTAGGAAGCCGCGCGTGTTCTAGGATCGGAAATCCTGAGGGGGACTACATCAAAGGGCTCCAAACTTCGAGTAGAGAAACATCAACACGTCTTGTCCTCGGGATAGAGAGACAATGTCCTCATACCATATATACCAACATATTCTCAACTTCTCTGAAGATGGTACTGTCCTCAAACCAACCCCTCGAAGAAGGAAGTTCAAGAAATCTGTGGATGGATGCCTAAACTGCAAGAAACGCCGTAAGAAGTGTGATGAGACAAAGCCAGAATGTAAGAACTGCATTCGGCGAGGAATTGAATGTCGATGGCCTGCTCATGTGAATAGCAAAGCACAAGATGATAAACTGTTGGATCAGCTCATCAGCATTCAAGAGGAAGATATACGGCAAGAGGAAGCAGTTTCATCGGAAGAAACGCTGTGTTATGACGCGTTTGTCAGCGTGTTCTTGTCGTCGATTACACCCGCACACTGTCACCCATTACTCTCTCCCATGAGTATTCTACTACCTTATGCTGTTACCAATTCCACGGTGAAGGAAATCTTCCTGGCTTGTGGTGCTACTATCATGGCGTATGCTGACGACTCCTTCATACAGAGAGCACATATAAGGTACCACAACGCACTGAATTTGCTAATTAGTGACATTCAAAAATCAAAGGATGGATGCGAAGACCATCTCTTCATCTCAGTACAACTCTTACAGACCTTGTGTCTACGTGACAAAACGTTGGGACTAAGTGCCACGAAGTCAGCGGCGCATATCTCTGCTGCCTATGAGATTCTTAAGAAGCGATTCGCAAAAGAGTTGAAGATATCACCACTTGATCGGATCTTAACAGAACATTTCGTCTTCAATTATCCAATCACACTTATGATGTGTCACCATGGAAAGTTGTCTGCAGTTCCTTCTCCCTTCAGCTTTTATAGCCAATTTGGCAAGTCCTTAGAGACACCTCTCAACGACTGTTCTTCAGACCCATGGCTTGACCATCCTATTTTAGGAGTCGGGCTTAAAGCGCACGAGATTTCCGCCAAGTGTACATGGATGTGTCGAGTAAAGGAACTGCCTTTGTCATTGGAAGATTTGACAATTTGCAAGAGATTGCTGGAAGAGGCCACCGAGAACTTGCAACGGCTAAAATCAATACCCATGTACAGTCTCGAAAAGGCTCAGAAGCAAACGTTATCTTTCTCCAAAACAGTCATATATGCCTCTTTGATATTGCTCACCAAGCTGTGCAATAACAGGGCCCGCACAGAAGATGTACAAAAAGAACTAAAATTACTTTTAGATGAAGTATTATATTCAAAGCAGCTGGATGATGATTACTTTCAATCTATATGGGCAATGTTTATTGCTGGAAGTGTATGTATAGATCCTGGGCAAAGACTATTCATATCTGAACGTTTCAGAAAAGTGAGCAGCATGCTACATTCTTCTCTTTCAGAAAAAGTTCTGAGATACTTGGAGATGGTGTGGGGCGAAGAAGAGGATAAACAGGTTGGGTTGGATTTCCTCTTCGATACAACAATGTTAGATATAGTGTGTTCCTAGTAAGAAGAGCACATTCCACGCATGATGTTGATATTTTCCTCGATGGCGTCTGTTGTGTTCAATTTATAATGTCTCAATCTCAGTAACTTGTCTGACTGTGAAGTCCCCCAAAGATAAGGTACCATGTCAAGATAAGATCAAGTTGCGCAGTGGAGAGTCAAATGGCAGTCCTGATGTATGACGATGTAGAACCAATACGTATACCAAGCAGGCTTGTCTGAAGAGCCTCATTTGGACTGGATCCTGATAGCTACATAATGAAGTACAAAATGTGCCTATATAAATGCTTATCGAGGAGTTAAACGCTTAAAGATTAAGTAAAAGACTAACTTTACAACACTCATTCGCCTCTTAGCCAATCTCCGAGTTTTTCACAATGCACTACATTGCCATCTATGGATATCTTTCTGATTCAGACACTTTTCCAATGCAGACGTTAACCGGAAGCATACGCCAATAGATACGAGACCTTGCATTACCAAGAGAGATGTCACAAATCATAATGACCAGCGATCGTTAAATGTGATGTCTCAACAAATATCGCAAGTCATTTCACAACATGAATTGATTATAAAACGTGTGTCGCTGTTGTAGTTTTGATCTTGCCCTGATAATAGTTCTAGGATCCTGGAAGAGAAGACACTCACACACTCTGTCGTTCACTTGAAAAGAGATTGCTTTGACCTTCAGCTTGGGCAGCAGGAAAATTGTGATACCTTATCTTCCAGTTAAATAGATATTGAATTGTGCTGTGTATCTGATCTTCCATTAGCATCGTCTTGCGTAGTATGTTTATATACTTTGTAGCAGCAGTGTGTTCGTCAGACGTCTTCATAAAAGCTTTGGTGCTTTCACAAAGGCTGCTGTTTTGTAGTACACATTGTGACGGCAGACCACCTCCAAAGCCTGCTGGTATCACTCAGCATGACTGCCATACATTGATGCAGTAACATCGAAGCGATGGGATAGTGATTATCAACAGCAGAAAGCCCCGATATAATTTTCGTATACGGGTGCATTTTGTTGTCATGGCCGTCTTTTCATCTTTGGTATAGTCAAATCCATTACTTCCTATTTCGTTTGCCCGCTAGACGTTTTACTTTTAGTCTTATGTTATAAGATACTTTTCTTGGATCTGCATTGGTATCTTCTTCCTCATAGTTGAACATTTACGTTGTGTCTTAATGAGTACGAATTGGCTGTTGATACTCATTGTGTCTTCGCAATTGAAGTCATCTAGTCATGACCACATCGCGCTGATCCCACATGCAATGCGTAGTTGTCCGCTTATTTGTATATGACAAAGAGTTATACTAACTGTACGTCAAGTCGATTGTCTATGGATCAAAGCTGTTGTCATTGAACGTTGAAGAAGTAGTTATCGTTGATGCGTTGCTATGGTTTCACATTTGTTGACTGCGACCATCCGAACATCAAAATTGGGCGGGGGTGAGAAAAAACATCAACAAAGCGAAGGGGAGTTTCTTATATCAACGCACTTATTCCCTTAACAGTTTAAGCTTGGAAACGTTAGAAGATGGTAGCTCTAGAATGGGATACTGTTACTTATCACATAACGCTACTCCAAATGACTTGAAAGGCTTTAAATGACTGTGAGAGCGGCAGGAACAGTATTAGAGGTGGCATATATGAAAGTCCCAATGGTTTCACCTGGCGTTCAAGACTTTGTCTTTCAATGAGAGATATGGAGGGGGAGACTGGTATCAATGGATCACATGGACCACTCGGATAACTTATGACTCAAACCACAGATCAAAAAGCTACCTCAGCTCCTCACGTCGACGATGTATGGCTCTCTCTCCTGGACTAAAGCTTCACACAGCTCTGAATCAACACGTCTACACATATGAATTGGCATTACCATATGGTTTCAAGAGTAATGACGTGACAAATTATACTGATAGATTGTATCAATATCCGAGTGTCCTTGTTTTCTATTGCGAAATGGTATTGTGTGGCACTCTATTGCTCCTTGGTATAAATGAAACACAAATGTGAGGTGTCTCATGAAATAGTCCACCAGTACTCGACATCAATCAAAGGAGAAGTACACAGTACCAATAGGCAATGAGGGCTAGACATATCTAGATCATGAAACTGCCTTGGTGTCTTTATACCCACTCCTCATAGAACTACATCAATTTCGAATTGAAACTGGCGATGGTCTTAGTGATTCTTGAAACAGCTCGCATT